GGTAAATTTTAGATATTTAAACACTAAAATGTAAAATATGAAACATCCTAAATAAACTCTGATATTCCAATTTTTAGGCGTTAGCTCAATTAATTAAATATATTCTTGAGTGACTATGACAAACAAAAAAAATAATAATAGAGAAATAAATGCAATACAATAATACTACCCAACCATTCCCTTGTAAGTTTCACAGTATCCAAGCTGCTCGGGCCGAATTCTATGGTTACCGCCTACAGACTAACATCAAAGCCTTAGTTATTCATATATTTGGTATTCACTTAACCGCACCACGTAAGTAGACTAGAGGAATGATTGCCTCAAGTGCCGGCGCCGCGTCGCTCCCCGCCAACCCATCTCGATCCCACGTAATTAAGGAAGACTAGTTTCTTTGCAGATATCACCGTATGCGCTTCTATTGTTAGGGCGCGAACGTCGACGGATAAAAATATATAAACAAGGACAACGGCGTTCTCGTCTTTCGGCCTAAGGACGGGGCCTTCCGTGCTAACAGGAAATGTCTTTTAGAATGCGTTCGTGTGCAACAGAAGCGAATGGACGTCTTGTGTCGTGGAGCAAACCGGGTCCGTGCTTTGGTCCCAACGAGAAATTGTACCACGGGAAATACTGTTAGGCTCACTGGTGACAGACCATTGATTTGTGGGAGAGGATAATCAAAAAAAAACATAAAACTGAGCAAAGCTTTAACCGGGCGTCACTAACCGTGCTAAAATTTCGACTCGTGATCCAACGTTCGTATTTCGAATGTGACTAATGAAGAGACGGCACGTGTAGCGTGACTACAGAATATAAAGATTACGGGAGGGGGGAAAATACTATGAGCGAGATACATTATAGGCGGCTTAACCGTTGTGCAAACACGGTGCTATACGCTACGATAATGGTCCATTCAATTTTTTTTTAAACATTAAAAGCTAAAACATTCGACATTTGAGAACATAATTTCAAAACACCACCCCGCGTGGCGGGGTAACGCTTGCCCTTTTTTAAATTAAGTAATTAGAAGAAAAAGAATAAAAATAAAAAAAAAACAATCAACAACAATATTATGAGCAAACTACTATGTGAGTACTTGAGCTAATATAACACCAGAGCAGCTTGGATGGAGCAACCACGACGGCGGCCGTGTAAAATATAAAATGGCTCCCATTTGTACGATACAACGTTTTTTGTGATGCCAGAGATCCACGGGGACTAACTAAGAACATAGTGGTCGTTAATGGCAAAGGGACATCGACTTTGGCTTAAGAGAGGCACACGAGATATCGGCCGATGCGTTCGAAGGCGGCACCACGGTGTGGCACAGCGCGGCGGATAATTCGGGCGCGAAAGTTCATGTGGGGGGGCCAGAGTAAAAATAAATAGATAAAAATATTTACACGTAGTTATGTATATATATAAAATGTTGATTGATGACATAACACTTATGATAAAAAGTAAAACAGCTAAGCTCATTTATGATTACACAAGGCGTGACGAGGGCCCGGCTAGACCGCGGGCCCATATTGTCTACGGCTAGCCACCACCGATGCCCGGCGCGGAGTTCATTAATACGATAACATTCACTTGAAGGAAAACGCTCACACCTGTCATCGGTTAAGGTAACGTACCACAGTTCATTGAGGCACAATCATTGGTTTATTTTAATTGCTTTTTTTTTTTTTTTTTCACTTTTTTTTCGTTTTTTTTTTTCTTTTTTTTTTCTCGTTTAAATTATTATCCATTACAATTAATTTCTTACGTCTAATATCTAAGATAGTTATTATAATTACTTTTAGGTACGTAAATTTATTCTAAATAACAGAAACAAGTCACAGAAAAAAAATTGTTAGAAGTGAAAGCGTGAAGCGTATTAAAATCCTTTAAGAATATAATTTCACAATATACATACATATTACTAGTTATTAGGTGTAAGTTATAAATATACAACAACGTAATAAAATAACACAGACTAAATTGCACGTGGCGCAATTGTGGGGAGGAAATAGTGAAGCAGTCATTGAACTGAGAGGAGATTCAGTTAGGCGCGGCGCGGGCGCCTATTCTCACAACCTTGCCGAACGAACCCGAACGTGCGGACGAACGAACGTCCGAACGCGCACGCGAACACGCGAATGTAACGCGCCAATCCGCGAACGCAACGTCGAACCTAACACCACTACACCACAACGCTTATATTATGTCTCTTTTACAATTAATATAATCGATTAAGTACTGTTTAGTTTAAACTGACTAAAAAATTTTCCAAGGCGCGACTTCATCGTCTATAATCTATGGACAACGTATTCTAAAGGGCACTGGATCATTATAATTCCGTTACTAGGCTTTTTGTCTAAAATTTAAAAAATGGAAAAGTCTTTACAAAAATTATGCGATTTATTGCTGTCATAAATTCACTAGACCAAAGTACCGCCGGCTAAGGCATCTTCGAGTTTTCAGTCCGGACAGAGTAACGTTAGATAAAAATAATATCTTTTTCTTTATTACATTCTATGAAACGAAAACACCCTTACTCAATTGAGCTCGACAACAATAGAATTGACATTGGATGTTTGTTATAAAAAAAAATGCGTTCGCCATTGTTGCATAGAAGTAACACGAATTGGTTTTAGGAACATCAGATCAATAACCCGTACCGCAAAATAATTTCAAATAAATTTGGAAGATATGTTTAAGCAGTGATGCTATCATATTGTTCCAGACACCTTTATCATATCTTTGATACTCACTCTTTGGCACCTAACATTAACGTCTCGATGACAAGGTCTATATGGCCCCTAATAGTGAAACTAAAGGTTTGCGTTCCTATTGCATAAACCCTGCCATTAACATAGTGTATTCAATACAGTCTAATTTAAAATACAGCAAAAACATTTCGCCGTACGGCGTACACTGTGGAATTCAATTGTTGTATGCCGGGGGGCTAGAGAGATTTTTGAACATTTGGAACATTTTAAACATTTAAAATGAAGCAACAGAGTATACGCAAACAAAAAAATAGAGACATATAACAATGATCATCGGTCCCTCTATTACAGTGAAATAGGTTATATTAAGAAAATGCTAATCTTCTTTCCTAAATGAACACATACAGCGAAACATTCAACACTATATCTACCACGAGTCCAAAGCGATCGAAGAGATTTAATAAACGCACATCACTTTCAACACCGCACTCTCAACTAACTTATTCGTTTAATTTGTGAGGAGCTCCCGAGCTTTCGCCCGACAAGGTACAGACAGCGATTACTTAAACGCCTACACTTAGCACTACGAGAGTTATGTTTAAATCGTAAGATCACTGGAAGATGCTCGAAATACAATAGAATACAATGTACACTTAGTCAAGTCGCTTGTGTGATCGTTTGTTTTGATCGTGAAGCCTGGTGGGGCCCGCCTTTGAGGGGGCGCAGTCCGCCCTAGTCTCTTCGGGGGCGGAGGGCGAGGGGCGGGTACAGGCAGGCACAGACGCCGTCCGCCTTTCGTCGGTTCACGTACCGCCGCGTATTGTGCGGTACGGTCGCGGATTGTGGAACACCGTAGCGTATTGAAGTACAGTCGCGCACAATAGCAGCCGTCGTCGTGTGAGATACAGTCGCGTACTACGCGCCACGGTGGCGCATTGTGACATACCGTCGCGTATTGTCGGGTACAGACGCACATCAGAGCGCCGACGAAGTGAACCTCGCCTCTCTCTGCTAGTCCCGCTACACATTGCTAATGATTATAGTTTGGCAGAGTATCTCTGTGGCACACCGTAATAAGTTTTAAAAAAAGTAAATAAAAATGTAAATAAACCTTTATCATAACGAACATTTACACGTGCGAATCGTTGCCGTTAAAATATCAATAGTATGCTTATCGAAAACTACGATAGGACTTAAGTGTAAAATTATATCTACAATGATGTAATACCGGGAGACCTACGACTACAAGTATATTATTAACAGAATATCTAAAGCATATGTCACTTTGAATAACGTTCAAATTGAGCCTATAGAAAATACCACAAATCTTTTTTTTATTAAATAGATATTGATATGGCTAAATTTAAGTTAGAACTTTATCCTTACCTATACACAAAAGTGTAATATTTTAAATTACTGTCAATTATTATAGTACTTTTATAACACTTCTCACAAATGTATGTATTATATAAAATGATAAAACAATTTTCAATTTAATATATTAGGTTACCCTTAAGTTAATCGTATAATCTAGATAATCGTTTTTTTTTCTCATATATTAAACATAAAGTGGCACTTGAATCACAAATACTGGAAAAAATTTGGGGAAACATCAGCACGGGCGGTCGCCGAACGCCGCTTCTCCAACAAAATAGATTACTCTTACATTAGGCAAGATAATTTACATCACAGGATACTGGATTGCGTTAGCCTACGCCATTGCGTTCGCGGCGCCGCTTGCCCCGTCCAACTCTACCGCATCGGACTAATAAGCATACGGCTTGGAGGAATTTCATCAAGACTTGTTTCGTAACGGCCCTTGCTCTTTTGCACTATCGCAAAATCTAACAGTTACGCTTAAAAATTAAAACTAACCGGTGTTTTTTTTTTTCTCTCCTTGTCTCTCTATATCTCCCCAAAAGGCGAACATAGCAGGGCGAAATGCAATTACACGTTTATTGCTGGATAAAATATCACTAATGGAAAACGGAGGCGCAACGCGATTGAGAATTCAAAAACAGAATAAATAGTTAAAATACGCTCAATATGCACAAAACTAGAAATAATATTAATAATAATAATTAAAAAAAAACACGAAAGAAACTCGGAACGCAACAGCTCGACGGGCGAAACAGCAACAGCCCAACGAGCGCAACAAAAATAAAATAAATACACACTAAAATAAGGCCACGGGACGAGTGACTGAGGTAGCCCGCGACGCAACTACTCTACATCCAATACCTTACGTTATTTGGTGATTAAAGGAGCGAGCCGCGAACGCGAGCACGATCACGGGCGCGAACGCGACGCGGCTGCGAGCACAATCATGACCGCGGCCACGACCTGCCCGGGGCGCAATCGTGATCTGCGAGCGTGATCACGATTAAGGGCGCGGCGGCAATCTACCGGACGCGTTCGAACGTTGCCGTGAGAGCGAGTGCGCGCGAACGAGTGCGTGCAGCGCCCGCGACCGCCGTTGGGGGCGGCACGGTCGCAGCGAGCCCGACGCTGGTTACGCGCGCGCTTGCGGAAGCGAGCGTGGCCGCGGAGGGCGCGAGTAATCGCGACTAAAATTACGACCGTAATCGGTCGCGAGCGCGAGGCACTCTCGCGGCGCGACGACAACGAACAGGGGAGCGGCGGGCAGCCGGCGGGGTCACACCCGCGCCGTCGCCCGCCACCCCCCGACATAACGTACAATATACTTCATATAGGTACAATAACCGTCGATACATTATATGTCTGCCGTTGTATATGTATAATTCTTATGTACACTAAATAATCTACATGAACACTTACGACACAGTAGAATAGAATTGTGGACAGTTGGCTACAGCGGGCGCGTCGAGGGGCGAGCTAGCCGCCCGACGCGCCCGTCACGATCTGACTAGGCGAATAAAATAAGTCCGTCCCCGTACGGTGGGGCCGGCGAAGCGTAATTAAAACTAGACACCTAAGACTTCGGTTCGGCGCCGTCGCGACACACGCCCCGGTGGGATGCGCGGGGAATGCGATACAAACGTTTGAAAGGGCGCGTCGCCGGCACGGGGAAAATCATCAACAAGTGCTCAACAAAAAATTTTCCTACACAAACATAATTCGAATAGGCACGACCGCTGAGGCGTGATCAACGAGCCCCGTAAGCGGCGAGCCCTAGCAAATGACGTACGCGATCCACCTACGCGCTTGGTGCGAACATCTGCGTATCAAATGGAAACTTGCGAGCTGGTGACCGTTGCGACCCGAGCGGCGCCTGCGTCGCGACCCCGAACCTGGTTCCGCCGCGCTTATATGGACTCGCCGCCGAGGAGGTCGGGAGGCAGGAAGGAGTTGAGCGAGGAGGGCGTGGCGCGCTGCTCGTGCTGGTCGGGCCACAGGCCGGGGAAGCCCCAGCCGTCCTTGCCCTGTCCGCGCCACGCGCCGCCGCCGCCGGAGCCCAGGTGCTGCAGGATCATCTGCACCTCGGACTCGGCCGGCGACTCCGCGAATATCGTCGTGTTGCTCAGCACGCAGTTGTTCAGTGCCATCTGCGCCTGTGGACCAAGTAGGAGGTTAATATAACAAGAAAGTAATTGTGACTCACCTAAATTTTATTACATTGTATAAATATCATTTTCGCCCTTTTTCATTTAATGTAGAGCATGGTTCCTCAAAATTAGAAAGTATAATTTGAAATTCTGCAAACTTCTGAATTATTTGGTATAATGATTATGAAGTGTGCAAAATCATAATTAACACATTAACAATGAATTGTCCTGACTCTAAAACTTCTGTCTTTTTCCTTTTTTTTTTTGTTCTACAGTGTAATATTTCTTCATAAATATTTTCTCCTAAAAATAAAAATTTTAATATTTCTTTGTAAAAAAGTTTTTTGAAAAGTGTTGACATTGTGTAAATTATAGACACATTAAACAAATATCGACATTTACGCGACGTGAGAATATCAGTTGCTTATCTCAGCTGTTAGGGAAGAGTCTGGGCGAGTTACCTAAAAAAACTAAAGTTTATATAGCGCAGAGTCGAGAATAAAACTCTGCAATAAAGGTTAATAAAAGGCTATTGTTAACCAATATCCTACCTTAGCAGCTTCCTCGCGCGTGGAGTAGCGTGCAAGCGCGAGCCCCTGATTCAAGTACAGATGGAAGTTTTGCAATGGACCGTGCTGGACGCACAATGTCTTCAGTGTTGATCCATCAATCTGTACCAACAAATAGAGTTATAAAATTGGAATATATAGGGCACCAAATATAGCATGTCTAAATTAAAAATTTCTGTGCAAATTAACTTTTTTTGTACAAAATATATATTTTCATTTTATTTGTAGTTGCAATTAACAATTGACTAATTCAAACGACCAACCTGTGCAGTAAGATTCTTCAGAAGCAGCCAAGTGGACGCCTGCCAAGAGGGGAGCGTTCGCTGGTTGACGTGGTGCTGCGGCCAGGCCTTGTTGAGGCCGGGGGGCGCGGGCCGGGGCTTCGTGCCCCACGCGTCCGACTTCAGGGCTCCGGTGGCGCCCGTCGCGCCCGAGCTGCTCACCGGCGGGGCGTAGCTCCACGTGGACGACGACAGGGAGCGTTCGCCCCCAGGGGGCGAAGTCTTCCCGCCCAACATGTCCGAGTCCTTGATGGTCGCGAGGGAAAGAGGCGAGCGCACAACGGAGCCGGGCGTCATCGCGGGATCGTCCTCGACGTTCTTCATCATCTGATTGCCCTGTCAGAACAGATCAATTTCAAGCTGCGTTTTTCCATTATCATCACTTTATTTATTATGTGTTATTTGAATTATGCAATTCAATTCCTGTACAATGAAGAAAAACCTGTATAAATGGACAGTATATATACTCTTCACTTCTTTTCTCTGGATAAGGACAACAAGAACATTTCTACATTGCTCTATTTCTACATTGTTTGGTGCCACTATATCCATACATACACAGCAATGAACCGTCATCTCGTCAAAAAATAAAGTATCAAACAAGTCAGAATTTTAACAGGCACTAATAGATGCACATATACATTTACAGAACAACCTATAGATGTACGTCCCTATAACAAAGCAACAAAACGATAAACGGTAAAAGTAAAGTTGTAGTAAGCACTGACCTTCCACGGCTTGCCGGGCTCAAACTCTGGCACCAAATCGTAGACTGGCTGGTGGGCGGGATGGGAGCCCCAGGCGTCCTTGCCGTCGGCCACGTCGGCGCCGCTGTCGCCCCAGCCCTCCGTGCTGCGCCCGACGCCCCATGTGCTGCAAATTTTTATTGTGGTAAAGCCACGCAGCATCTTCGGCTGTTGCACGTATTGGCCTCAGAAGCCTGGCGTGAAGTGGAAGTATAACACTTTCGCATTTCATCTGGCGTATGAGGTAGCCAATGCGTACATATTTTAAAGGTTGTCAAGGCAAGCCCTAAGGTGTTGGAGAAATCCATGGGTGGCGGTTATCACTTAACATCAGATCAGTCTCCTTGTTAAACAACTTTTCACATAAAAAAATAATTACGCGTACATAGCAAGAAGTTGAAAGTATTATATGATATTAACCTTCAAGTTGTATTTAATATTCCTTTGCACTTTTCCAAATTACCTATAATAATAAATTTAGATCTGAATTTCTGAAAGGAAAGAATTTTATGCAAATTGAGCTGAACTAATTTTGAAGAGGTATTCAATAATTGAAATATTATCCAAGAAGGTATAATTTATTGTAATGAATAAATTAAAATATTTTTTACCACAAATCCCAACATTTTGGCATCTATGATGAAAAGATTAAATAAGTGTAAAATGCGAGTCACACCGCGCGAAAATCTCGATGACTTATCTAATTTGTTTTTATTGCTTTTAAAGTAGGTACTTAATTTGTTTGGTTTAAGTGACATATTTATATTGATTTTTTTTTCGATTTATATAGTTTATTGTAGTTCCTTGCTATGAAAGCACTTACGAATCGGGCTGTAACCCAAGTTGATTCAGCTGGGGACTGGTGGTAGATTTAGCTGTGCCTGGAGCTCGGCTAAACTCAGAACCCTCTCCATCCTTGTCTAATGAGGGCAGCTTCCATTGGTTAAGGCGCGACTGCTGGTTGCCGCTAGCACCATAGGCCTATGTAAAACAAGGAAAATAATTTTTTCAATCTTAACACATCTTTATAATAATGCAATGTGGAAATGACACTTGCTATATATATATAGTATAAATACAGGGCTTTTCTAAGTGTATCCATTTTTTTAAATTAATTCTAGGCATAAATAATGTTATATAAAAATGATAAATATTTAGAATCACTCGTAATTAATTAATGACATTCATTTGAACTTATCTTAAAAAGTGCGTGATTTATGGGCAACTCATTTATTTTATGTGTAAGTTCTATTTTTTAGGGAATAGAATTGCAATTTTTAAAAAATAAAGTTTGTTTTTATTTCAATAAACGATTATACTACAGAACAGGTACAGAGTCTGAACCTCCTGTGAGAATTTGGGCACCTTTAGAAAAGCTACCCTGTATTTTAATTCACAAACCATAACAGTAGGGGTTAAAAAAAATTAAAACTTTCTTCAATTTATTGCTTGTATAATTAATTGCATAATTTGCCTTTTAGGAAGTTTTATTGCATAACCTATTTTAAAAATTATAATTTCACAAGGACATGTTATGACTTATGAATTATGTGTATGTTATGACTGATAAACTAATTATGCGAAAAATGTAATATTCAAGTTTGAAAAATTAATAAAGGGGTTTACTGCATTTCAGTAAAACTGAAACACTGCTGACCATTAAATATTGTGTCTTAAGATGCTTTAACTTATAATACTTTAACTATTAATAGCCGACAAAACAATCTTATCAGGAGCCTTGAAATGACTTTGATTAAAGATAAGCCAGAAAAAAAAGATATTACAATCAAAATACATGTGTGAAACCAGTGTAAAAACTACTTACCGGTTGAGTGTCCTTGGTGATACTCATGTCACTGAAATTGTTCTGCAAATGGACAAGTGGATCATGGCTCTGCTTGAACAGATCTGCACCACCAGCTTGCTGCTTCATGTAGAGAGCTTGTTGGGTTGCTATTTGATTCTGTTAAAGAATAAATGTATCACTAAAATTAAAAGATTATTATACTAGTATTTTAAAAGCACTGTTTCACCTTTTTATTTTCACTTCTTAATATGCACTCATAAAATTGACAACAGTTTATAAGCTATTAATAGTTACACTCAAAATTTCACACAAGTTAATCATAGAAACATACTTGTAATGCTGTGATTTGCTGCTTCGCTTTTGTAATTTGCAGTGTGTATTGCATCGCAAGTGAGGAGTTGCCTTTGGATATCGCCAAAGTGTGTTGTTGTACCAATTGCTGCAGCACTTTGATCTATAACAAAGAAAAATATTTAACATTCACATCAATAAAAACATGTTGATTTAATCCAGGCCTATCTTTTTTTTTTCTTGTTATTAAAGGCTCTTACAAAAAGATAATATATTGATGTTGTAAGAGTTGAAATGAACATACATAAATTTCACATAGAAAAACTCTCCAATATTAGTCAATTATCTGAGGGTCAACCAAATACTTGTCTCCTGTGAGATCGCAACCCACGACATACGAATGTGAAGCCCATAACATATTATCTGCGGCAAACGCAAACACTCAACCACACAGTAATAAGTGGTTGTGCATAGGAGCACTAAGATAGTATATTTTTAGATTCTATAAGAAATTAAACAACATACAGCTACTTTTTACATGAATCTTTTTATATAACGTACCTGCTGTAACAGCTGATTAAGTAGCACTAGTGTCTGCGGCGCTAGTGGCTGATTGAGGATCTGGTGATTGAGATAACCGGCTGAGACGGCCATTTGGATCTGCTGTACCAACATACGCAGTTGGGCCGTACTCGGCTGACCACTGTTGCTACTGCCACTGTTAAATGAACTAAAAAAATTAATATACAAAAGATGAGTGTCTAGAATAAATAAAACAGTTTTCAACTATTTATATATGTAAACTATTGCATATATCATTAACATAAAACTATGTGGACATTACATGCAATTAAATCTTAATTGAAGCTTCCAGTTACCCTTAATATTTTATAAATATTTAGTATTTATTTTATTATCTCAAGGCTAGTTGCCATATAAAAGACTACACTGACCTGTTAGGGTTGTACGAGTGGTGCTGATGTACGGGCTGCGGTGGGGGTTGGTTGAGCATTTTCTGCACGACAGCCGGTGACACCGCTGGCACGGTGGGCGGCTGGAACGGCGCGTGGTGGAAGTGGTCGTCCCGCCGCCAGCCATCGCTTCGCGCCGCCGCCAACAGCTCTAGGGCCTCCTCAGCGTTCATGTCGCGGCTGCGCAGCGCTGCCTCGACCTCCTCTTTTTTGTAGCCGAGCTCTACCAAGTACCTGCGTTGATTTATTTGTATTTTTATTTTTGTACGCAAGAATATTTGATAGTCAGTCCCAACGACCACTGCGATAGAGATCTATTGTAGTCTTCCCCTCAAAAACATTGCCCCCATACTGTAGATAGCCCATGTTGTAAGGAAGTTTTATCCAGATCTGAAATAATTATCTGTGGATCCCACAAGTAGTTATCTCATTTGGGAATCGAACCTACGATCCCCGTCGCCGAAGCCAATACCTTGGAGCCAAAAAGTATGTGATGATAATCACTCTAATATTACATCTAATATATGCAAATTGTGCAGGGTATTTTTTAATATTTTAAAGATAAAATGTTAAATGGGGTCAAAATAGAATTTGTAATTTTAGTACCCTGATTGGAATTAACACTCAGGGTACTTTTTATACAAGGTTTCTTGTATCATATAGTTGGATAATAAAATACCTAAGTGACTTGGCTTTTACTTAGAGATGCACATACCACTTAATGTCAGGTATGATAGTTGTAAAGTAATATCGGTACCTATAAAAAAATTTACCAAACAACTGAAATATATGAAGATGAATAGATGTTGACAATTTTCACTTACCTAAATTGCTTACTGTTCCATAACAACTCTTTGGGGATTTGCTTGCCTAAAGGTCCACTCTGTGGCAGTTTCGGTCCGCCCCATTCGCCAATATCATCAGGCCAGCCACCGCCGGGACCCGTCGGTTTGGGTTTCGGTGCGGGCCAAAGTCCAGGGCCCGTTGCATCAGGCCAGCCAGCCACTTCGCGATCGGGCCAACCGGGCGTGTGTGGTTCTTCCCACGAGCCATTTCGCTGTGAATGTGCGCCCCAAACGGCGTCGGGCTTCGTTGGAGTTGGTGGGATCCTCTGAGGAGCGGGTGGACCCTGAGGTGCCCCACGGCCAGCCATACCCCCTATGCTGGCCCGTTGTGCCCACAGCGAAGTACCGTCGTCGAATCCACGACGTGCGGCTGGCGGTGACGGTTCCTCCCAACCAGATGACTTAATTGGATCTTTGGGTCCCTGCAATAGCCATTTGTTACATAACTGAAGATATCTAACAACATGTACAGTCATCATATAATCTATTATAATAATGAAATACAACAAATACCGCCAGTGTATAAATTTTGTAGTTGCTTTATTAAACTTACCTGAGCACCCCACTGATTAACTCCACCAGATGGCATCATTTTGTTAGGTGCCCCTGTGTGTTGATGGTGCTGACTCCACATATCTCCATTAAGCCGGCCTGATATTCCCCCTCGGAGGTCGTGTCTTGGGTCAGAAGGCTGCTGACGAGGATCTTGCGAACGGTGGGGATCTAATCTAGGATCAGCAGCTCTGTGGGGCTCTCCCCATGCATTCCAATCGTCTTTCTTTGGTACGCCCCATTGTTGGGTATGTTGTGGGGGCCCGGCTGGCCATTGCTGTGGCGGTGGTGGACCTGTCCAAACATTTGCAGAGTCTGCTGCATCATCATCTTCTCCCCAAGTTCCACCAATATTTGTCGTAGGGGTATGTCCCCATGGGGTTTTAGCAGCTGGTTGCGGTGGTGGTTGTCCACCATTTCTCAAATTAGCTTCCCATAAGTCAGTCCCAAGGAATGCACCATTATTAAGATTGGGTTTCCAAGCTGGTGGCCCACCAGCAGAAGGCTCCACTTTAGAACCAGGCTCAGGGGAACCAGGCACATCCCAATTTGTGTCTTGGTTGACATGTTGCTATAATGAAACAATAAAATATAAGCAAGATGCTTAAGAATAAATATCTTTTCAAGAGAATCAAACAATATACATACACCACCCCAACCATCTTGACTGAATAAGGCCTCTCTCATTGAGTTAAGCTGTTCTATTTTAGCAGATGATGTTGTGTTAGCATTGTTACCATTTCCGTTTGTTGCTGTAGGCCCATTTGAATTTGCTGTTGGGTTTACAGGGTTATTGCCTCCATTATTAGAATTTCCTGCATTATTTGTACCTAAAATATGAATTGATGTTAAGCAATGTTGCAAATGGTGTTTAATCAATATTCACACATGCAAATATAAAATATTTTTACCATTACTGGCAGGTGCACCATTATTATTAGGCGGAGCATTTGGCATGTTTGGGGGTGAGCTCTGCCAGCTTTGAGCAGCAGCTCCACTGGATGGTGGTAATTGGTTACCATTGCCTTTATTGCTATTCACTGTGAAAGTAAAAACAAAACATAGAAAAAACAAAGTATCATTCATTAAATAATTAGGTTTTAATTTCCAATTAGATGTTCATGTAACAATGAAAATTCTAAAACAAACTCACTGTCTGCTTGTGAAGTGGGCGGTCGTTGCGCCGTATTGTTCCATTGCTGAGTATTGTTTGTCCCATTATTTGTTTGTCCGCTGGAACTACCACCCCAATTGCCAGCTGCAGGTGGGACACAAAGTTCTAGCATGGTTATTTATATCTGATTTAGTATACAAAGAAATATAAAAGAATATTTAAGTAATATTATATTGATTTTCTTTTAGTGGTTTTGTTTTTAAAAAAAATTAAAAGCAATTATGATAAATAGTTAAACATACCATTATTAGCAGTTGGTGGGCTACCCCAACCTGTAGCTGCATTCAAGGAGCTCTCTCCACCCCCACAAAGCCGCAGGCGAAGAGGAACACCCCATGAATTAACCTCTGAACATTTCTTTAGTTTGGTTATAATCCTAGGCTCGCTGCTTACAAGTTCCAGCATAGCATCAAATGTGAGATCACCATTCACAAAGGTCTTTGTAGCTCGCTTCAAAGTGGTTTCATGATCATCAACATTTAATGCATTATTGTCATGGTTAATTTTAATAGACTTGTCATTGCAAGTTATCATTCGAGTTTTCATTTCGCATATCATATCACGAACAGACTTCTTGTTAAGTAGTTGCGTCTTATCAATGCAAGGCTCATGTATAATACAAACTGAGGATTTAAAAGCGTAATCAGACTTGTTCATATATTCTGGCGCTCCCAACGCCATCTTATATTTTAAGTTAAAGCTACTGAAATATGGGTCACTGTATGAGATACCCTGGACTGTTATGGCGTTAATTGTTAAAGGAATGCAGTAGTTAGGCGTATCGCCAATCATTTGGTTTTGTTGGATACTATCAACAAACTCTACATTATAAATATTATTATCTACCATTTTTACACTAATTTGCTGACTTTCATTCTTCTCTTCGACTCGCTTAAAAGCACCAAATTTATTTGTGTTCACCACCAACATTAAGGTGGAATTATTACATTGCATTGGTTCGGTAACAGTATCAATATTGGCGTAACAATTATCCTTAATTAAATGTGGAACACATAATATTACAGAAACATTAGACATCAGACAATTATTTATAAATAGAATAATTTTCTACAATATCCACCTAGCATTATACTTATTTTCACAGATTGCATATTGTTTCAATTAAAGACTAAGTAACAATGGTTCGTAGTGATGCAGTCAATAAAGCAGGTAGCAGTGTTTAATGCCTCTATGGCAAAGGGCAGGGTGAGATCACCGCTGGAGCTGCTTCGGAAACGCCTCTTTGCCCCAATTGGCCCAGCCCTACAAAACATTATTTGATTAGCTTTTTTCTGAATTGTTAAAAGTAATTACTAATCATTTTATAAAATTAATACATTTTGACAAGGTAAATAGATTCTATTTTAAGTATCAAATGGAAATAATGTAATAATTGTGTAGTGCTGTGAAGGGGTTTAAAAGTAATATATAATTCATTTAAAAATAAAATTTAATAGCCTAATTCAAACAAGATTCTCATGATTTTACACACCTTATAGGACGGACGAGAGGCTGAGCTGTATATCACAGATAATGCGGGCTTGGCAGATCCTTTAGAGCAGCTTAGCAGTTAGCTCGTAACGATTTAGGTTATCTGGAGCAATTAAAATTAAAATTGATCAACACTCAATTAAAATTACAGTTCTTATCCATTTAGAGTTGATAGTGCCATCATCGATCGATGAAATTATCAAGGAGAAAGAAAATGTTTTGAGGTTACCCTTTAAAGAGCTCTATCATAAAATACCTTTACGTACCTACAAGGTGTTGTTGCCAAGTGGCACACGCAAATATAATACCGACATTAAATTGCGTCGTTTACAGACGCGATAAGCGTGTATATTGAAATACAACAACCATCAGAATCTGAAGCGCGGTTTGGCGACAGACCTCCAATCCAATGTTCGTCGAATACACAATTGGAATTTATTTAAGTTCTTATATTTTTTAAATATCATCTCAATATTCCTATTCCAAGTGTAGAATTATTCTTCGAGGAGCAGGTACATATAGATACATTAGTATTTGTGTATTTCGGCCTTGAGACTCGATGTTGAATATCTGTACAGACTCTATACATACAATTATTCATGCTACGTATATTTATCTACAATACCTATCTATACTTAGAGTGAAAGTTAACACGACCTATTATAGATCAATTAAGGCAAAATATGACGCGAAATCATACATCTGCATGAAGAACAACGTTAATCCTTTAATTAAAACAAAAAGTTTTGCTCAAAGATATAAATTCTAGCAGGAAAAATACAAAAAATCTTACGTGACACGAACGAGCACAACGGTGTTATATTACTTGATAGAACGGGACAGAAAATAAATGCGATGCTGACGTACTGTGCATTAGAGCGAGAGAAACGATACCTCTGAGAAAGCGATGCCATAAATGCTAAATATGTTCGACAAAGATTTAAACACTATATAATGAAAAATAAGCTATACATGTTCATACCTTCGTTTTGTATAGTTGTTGGCACAAAAACTATATAGATTTATACAAAATCACAATCCCAAACCCCCGAGAACACGGCTTCGACGGCTGGATGGAATGATTTCGTCGTCGGGGTTCACACGAAGTGTTACGAAACTATACTAACTCAAGATGGTCGATGGCTTTACGTCAAACCATGCTTCACTCGGCCTTTTCGCTATAGTCGGATAATAACAATTTCCTATATACATATATATGCACATGCTACGAGAAATATATAACAATACTGTACATAAATACCGTATTCATACACCATACCAATAGGTATTGGCTATAGGTCTAATAGACTACAAGTTAACTGTAAAGATACTGCACAACTTGATTTTTTTTCGTGAATTGCTGGGAAATAGTTCGTATTAGAAAATAAAGTACCCGGAGGACCGAGCTTTGCTCGGTTTGGTTTTTTTTTTTTTTTTTTTTTGGTAAATCGTGTATTTTGGAAATTACAATTAAATACAAATTACTGAGTAATGAAATATGCATAATATTTTTTGATCTTACCGACGTAATAATAAGAAAATATGAACTGATGTTTTTCACAAAAGAAAGAACTTTAAAAAATCGACAAAAAAATTAAAAATAAAGAAAGTAATGATCTGGATTCGAAAAAAATAAATCGTGACGCGAACCACGGCCTCCTGTTTTGGGGCCGCCCGATTACCGACCGAGCTATTATGACATTTTCTCTTGCGGCGAAATTTAACGTCATATTCGAATTATATTTTTCATTCCCTGAAAACAGGGATAAAAGGACATTTTCTAAAAATGAAACCTATCTAGATCGATTTTTCGCCCCCGAATCTACGCACATACTAAATTTCATGAAAATCGCTGGAGCCGTTTCCGAGATTCCGATTATATCTATATATACAAGAATTGCTCGTTTAAAGGATAAGATTAATGGTTTAACTATACCACCGTGGGCATCAAATTACTTTCTTAATGCACGATGTTATCAGTATTTTGCACGTCGTACTATAAATAAAATCAAGTCTCTAAGCTGCTTAATTATTTTAACTTAGGTTAACAACCACTTAGACCTACATATTATTATATAATTTAATAAGTAAAAAGAACCATTGTGACGTGTTTTTATCGAGCGATGTTTATTAATAGGTATAATAAAAAATTGCATCTTTAATGAATTTCGCACCCTATCATATAACGTAAAAGTATGGATGGGTTATTTGGATGTGCCTATCTGTAAAAATTAATAAAAAGGAATTTGGTTAAAATTAAAATTACTATATTTATAAAATATACATCTAAATGTAATAAAATAAATACAAATTAGACTGGTTTTGTATTAGTTTTTAAATCATATGATTGAGTAAATGCTGAGTTAAATTATTACTACGTTCCTAATGCATTAAATATAAGCATAAAACAATTACAATTTTACCGTTTATTATTGAATGATTTACATGAAATAATACCTATTCTTTCATGTACTTAAATCTAATTATCATCAGTTGTACTACATACTTAGTCACTGTTAAAATGTAAATCAAATATTACCTACTTGTTTCTTTATTTAACATAACAAAAAAAATTTACATTAAAAAGGGTTATTAATATCGATTATGTACATTATATCCATTATTACCTATCAATTGTATAAATCAACAGGTCACACACTTCATACACATCTTTCTAAAAGTTGATGTTAGCCGACAGCCAAAGGAGGGTATTATTTCCGAGCGTATTTATGTATGCATGTGTATATGTATAAATAATGTGTATTTGTGTTACATCTAATTCTTTGGCACATTCTAATGCCTAAAACTTTTACCTGTACAGTAATTTGAGTTCCACTGGAATAGGTTGAGACAAAACACTGTTATAAGTACCCGCTAACATTAAATGAAAAAAAAATATTTAAAATTATTTTAAGACAGAAACATATTTTGTCTCCTATAAGTACGACTTATTTCGCACACACTTTATTAAGATATGGTAGAAATCTTCAATCACACTGCATTCGTAAAAATTGGGGGAATTTGCTTTTCCCATCATATATGTGTATTTATTCAATGGGATATGTCCTGAGCGCAATCTGAAACTCTTAGTAATGTCATGTCTTCACACATTACTTCTATAAACCATGGTGTCTGAGATAAGGTTGGTTGTACATAGTTTACCAAAAACCTTTCACGTCTTAACCTTGTCTTCACGTTGTTTCAATATGGAGAGAAAAAAATTGTATTTTTAAGGCAGTCGCCTTGTTAGTTCTTGTTGTTGGTTTTAACTTAGTTTACTTCATTCTAAGGATTTTCATATAGTCATAGAACATAAAACACCAGTCTGTTTAAATGTTTTAAACTATAATATCTAAATAGCAATTAAAAATGTAATGTTTTTAACGACTTCACAAACTTAAGCTTGCATTCAGCGATAATGCTATAACACGGTTTCCATTACTATTTTATAGAAAGTATACCTACTGTCAAAAACTTTGGTCATAACTAATTATCGGAACATGAAAAAATTTCCCCCTTCTATATGTATAATTTTCACCTAGAGACATTTTTAATTAGATAGTTCAGTTTCTAAAACTATAAAAAAATCCATTACTTCCGTGGCTTGCGTTGCGTGTACGGCGCGCGGCATAAGCTACGCTCTATGGAATGAGGAAACACGAGGTCAATTTTTCACTTCATCAGAGTTAATTTATTTATTTAACCTGTGTTACGGCAAAGCAACAAGCAAAACCTCACATAAGACCGGCATGAAGTGGAAGTGTTACACTTCTCTCTTGTGTTTCGTGGCAACGAATCTGCAACCCTACGAGGGTTTCATATGTCCATGGGTGGCAGTTATCGCTTAACATCAGATGTACCACCAATTAGCTTGGCACCTTTTCATATAAAAAAACATTACAATTTAAAAAAAAATACATATTAAAATTAAGTTAGTTTAAATTAAAGTTAGTTTGCATGATGCTACGATATCATCGAAACAAACAAAAAGTACTAAAAATATAAAATAAAAAAAATAAAAATAGTTGATAACACTACCAACAAAATATAATTAAAATTAGTATGTAATTGAACTAAAATGTAATAAATACAATCGTTTACAATAAATACAAATAGGCAAAAAAACTTTGAATATGCTAAGAATACGCTTCATAATAATGATTACAGATTATCTAGCCGGTATTTCTTTAAACAAATCTAAAATTGAAAACCAGTGGTGACTAACTACAGCTTACATTAGGCAAACCCAATTAAAACATAATAAATGTCGTTGAGGGCAACATCAACAATAAGCGAAACAACTAAAAGAGTCGTGAACGATACAATTAAATTGAATCTTTCGAGTATTCTGTACAAAAAGGGTAAAATTGGACCCAATTACTAAGATTTGGCTGTCTGTGTGTCTGTATGTCTGTCTAATGTCAACCTGTCTGTCTGGTAGTCACCAGGCTGTATATCATGAACCGTATTTCTGTTGCCGCTATAACAAAAAACAGAATAAATAATATTTAAGCCGTTTTGTAGATAATGGTACGGAACTCTTCGTGTGCAAGTCAGACTCGTACTTGGCCAGTTTTTGAGCCAGTTTGGCCAGATATACATCTTTTGGCGCGCTTGGAAAATATTTTGAAAGTAACATTTTTACGATGCGCGTAGAACGACAGCCAAAAAGCGCCATGATGCAGTTGGTTGAAAAACCATGAACTTCACGATATTCCATGGCGATAAATACCAACTTTGGACATTTACCTGTAACGCTTTTTCACAAAAAATGAGTACTGTCACAAGAAATAAAGTAGTAAGTTTAGTTATTTTTCTTTTATTACGCTAAATAATTAGGTATACCTAACTTCTTACGTTCGTACTCAAGGACACACTTACTTTTTTTCCAATTACATTTACCTTTTTATTTTATGTTTGATTTCCATTGATCCTGATAATGCAGTCACGAAAGGCAAAACGCAAGCCTAGAGGTAATTTTCAATAAATAAAAACAATATGTCTTTAGCTTTGTTGAACGTACAATAAGTTTTAATTACAGTTGTCATGAATGAAAATAAAAAAAAGTATTTTTCCCAGGACCACAACATTTTATTTTGATCAAGGCAAATTCTTCTAATTGTTTAATTTATAAATACCATTATTTGTCTTAGATTCAAACTGCTACCTTCTAGTGACAACTGACATTGACATTTGACATTTACTTTTCAACCTTAAACGATCAAAATTAGCATAAATGTGGATCCGTTAACATCAATAAATATCCGGCTGTACGTGAGTTTTCAATCATTTATCTAATCACTAGATATGGTGGTTTTAAGGCCGAAATGTTATTCATTAATAACTTGAAATGCCTCGTCGGTTTTTTGGTGTAAGAAGATTTTTTAGAATGCCTGTAACTGAAACTGGGGATCAATATTCAGTATGGGTGAGTAAAGCTTTATAAATATATTTTAAGTAAAAAAAAAATGCTTATAGTTTTGTTGAGGTACAATTTATAACATATGTTGCTTTTAAAATTTACCAATACATTAGACATATATCGGAAACATATAATTCAATCGTTTAAACTTTAAAATAAAGTAAGAAATCCTTTGTTCTTTTCGATATCCACCTGCCTTCGTGTCATTTCAGATGTAAATTAGTAAATAACTTTTTGATAAACGGTGTAAGTAGTATAAAAATTTGAATGGGTGCCAATGCTTTTTTTGAATTTAATTAATGAGATTAAATTTATAATTTACGAAATATTTAATTATCTGTTACTAATACTTCATATTTCACCATTTTTCTAGTAGAGTTATAATTAAAAAAAAACATTTTTTAAGTATGTATGTTCATCATTAAAAACTATTTTATTTTTGATCTTACGGAAAAGTAGCAAACATCCGATTATAGACTATAAGTGACATATTAACAACCATTTCCTTACTTTCCATACATAAACCCATTAACCTTATGTAGGCTTAATTATAGTATTAAAATGTAAGATCAGTTCCTATTTTCTATTAGAACCAAAATAAAATATTAAAATTATGGTATCTTTGCAGGTGGGATTGATATACATTTTCAATTTGATTGTCGGTACGGGTGCTCTAACTTTACCAGCAGCATTTGCAAGAGCAGGATGGGGTTTGAGCACTATATCCTTGCTTTTCCTGGCATTCATGAGTTTCATGAACGCTACATATGTCATAGAGACTATGGCTTGTGCCAATGCAGTATTCAAGTGGAAGAGATTGCAGTTCATTAAAAGGAACAGTGTGAGTTTATTTTTTTACAACCAAACTTTTAGTTATACTTTTAGGCGAAAATATTGAAGGCTATTGATAGCTATATTAAATATAATAATAATTATAGCTAAGGCTAGTGATATTATTAGCTTACTTATTTGGTGCTCTTCTTAGCTTACTTATTTGGAATCCTATATCACCCTATAATGAAGAATCTGTTAAGTTCAAGGTAAAATCTGTTTTAGTAAAAAAAATATTATAATAAATGTATTTCATTTCTAAGACAATAAATTGTACTTTAACAGATACAAGAACATGAAACAGATGAAGAACCCAGCTCGTCACAACATCTGTATGGTGAATTAGAAGATCCTCTAGTATGTGGGGACTCTATACCTTCACGCTACTATAGCCTTGATAAACGGATAGAGCTTGGGGAGATGGCAAATCTGTTCTTAAATAAATCTGGAAGGACTATGTTCTACTGCACCTTGTGTGTGTACTTATATGGAGACCTTTCCATTTATTCAGCAGCTGTAGCTAAATCAATTATGGATGTAGTGTGGTGAGTATGTTTAAATTTTTATAAATGTTTTCTTTTAAATTGCCTTTATTTATACAAATAAAGGACAAATATAATATATAATATCATATTAATAAATAAATGAGTCATCTGTTGTTTATTACCAGGTTATTAAGTGACATAGTCTATAACCATTTAAACAATTGATTAATTACTTGCGTAATGCAGACAATCAATTAATTGCCTCAACCAGTATTTTTGGTTTCATATCCATGCATGATGGAGTGAAAGTTAAATCTGATTGCCGTCTGGCAAAATATCAATTAATGTTCACTAACCAAAATTACACGATTACACGTTAGAGACCACGTGACGGCAAGCGCAGCGTAGGAAGGCCTCCCACAAGGTGGACGGACAACCTAGGTAAAATTATTTATTTATTTGAAAGCTGGTGCTTCCCATGTGGTCTCATATTAATTTCATTGCTACTGGATCTTGGGCTCTGGAGATACTTAGGGAACTCCTGAAAATCAATCATAAAATAATACACAGCGAGATATTTGAAGTCGGTTTTGTTTTTTGTTAGTAAATATGGACTTGTTACTTATAAATTATGATTTATGTTCTGTTCATTTTTATGAGAGACTGCCATTTTTGTAAATGAATTGGTGCATGTAAGATGCATAAAGTCTAGTGCTTGTTGACATGCTAGATTTTCAATTTAACATGAATTTTAGTTGTAAGTTAAATGAATATGACAGTGCCACAAGTCCGTACCATCTGTTTAATTTAATGGAAGCTTTTTTTCCTTCTTGTTAAGCTATATTAAATACTATCCGTGCCCGCGACTTTGTCCGCGTGGAATTTAAAATAAAAAAGAAATTCTAAAATAAAAGTAGCCTAAGTTACATGTTAGTACATCAGCTATCTGTCAGTGAAAGTCCCGTCCGAATCGGTCCCGCCGTTTCAGAGATTAGCCAGAACAAACAGACATGCAGACAGACAAAAATTGTAAAATATATTATTTTGGTATATGTACCATGTATATGCATATGGATGGCATTTAGTAAAAAGCGGTTATTTTAATATTACAAACAGACACTTCAATTTTATTTAATGGTATAGATGTATAGATTAAACTATTAAAAAAGTTTTCATTCTTCCATTCTAATCTTTCTGTGTAATTTCATCTATCATTAATATTATTGACACAACTAAGAAAATGTACATACATTTTGTGTCTCACACTATGCTACGTATAGGTATCAAGGTATGTTTTTCTTAAACACATTTTCCCATCGCATCAATTTAACAATATGTACGTTGTTAAATCACCGACATTGTCTGTTTTCCATTCAGCGTATTTAATCAAGTGTGGGCGCCATTGTTTTGTTGCGATGACGTCACGCGGGCGTGGGTTCAGAATGGGGGGGTTGGGGAAAGGGGGTTTAGGCCCATGAAGGCGATAAAATCGATTTATATTACTGCAGAGTCCGCTGTATAGGTTAAATCAATTCGCGTAGCACGATTGACACAGTTACGTTTCTTGCTAATGCAGGTTGGTCTTATGCCACGTACGTATATTGAATGTTTGGCATATTATATGTTGTTGACGTTTATTCTGCTGAAGTAATAGTTTTAGTGCGGAGGTCGAGCGGTTTTCGGCTGTTGCCTAATGCGTTGTTTCGGCTTCAAAGATCGATAAAAGTCGAATCGTATGCTAATTCGTTTCGTCCGTCGAATGAAAAACCTAAAAATTTTTGGCGGGCTCTGTAAGCGTTAAAGCATATGTAATCCCTAGGTCTGGTGGCGTGACGTCGTTTTCCGAGGGAAGAACCATCTAAAATTCTAAATTCAGCTACCTGACCACTTTCGACCTTAACGACATGTCATAAAAAATTATCTGTTTTTCTATTCTTTCTTTATTAAAGTTACATATCTCATCTTCTTTTATTAAAGTTATATTTATAATATAATTTATTGACTGGGCGAATAGAATACATAAAGCAGAAAGCGGAAATTGGAGGAAAATAAGTAGGCAAATACTTATGTAGACAAAAGTTCTGGTTATATCTTCATCATCATCATCAGTCTATGTCAATCCACTGCTGGAGTATATTCAGAAGACGTATGCCTTGCCTAATGTCTTCCGCCATATGCGGTACTTCTATTCTTTTTTCTAAGTCGTTTCCTTTAACTCCCTATACAACTTAACATCTGTGTTCTTCTGAATTTGTGATACTAACGCCCGGTTTCTGAAACACTTTTCATCGAAAAGCTGGCCGTTAGCTTATCCTTGGAAAAAAAGGATAGATAGAGCAATGCCGCTGGGATAACATAAGACTAAATTGTGTAAAATCAAGACTTACAAGTTCAGACTGTAAAAATCTATTTATCTTCAATGGTTACTTGCCTGCTGTATTGAAGTAAGTCAGCGTCGTGCATTGCTCATGAATAAGTTCATTAAATTATTTAACAATTTTTCTAGTGTTTTAGCAGAATGATTTAGTAGCGGGCTGTAAAATATGATAGGGTATTATTTAATCATATAAATAGGTATAGTTGATGTAGAAATGAGAACGAATCGATTTTTAACTACAAAGACGGATGTGCTTTTGAAATACTTATGATGTATATACTACATTGTTAGAAAATACTTCCTAACCAAGTATGTTGATTTCTATTTGTACACAACATGAAAAAACTGTTAAGTTATGCCATTAGGGTCTTGACAATGATATATTTTTTTATGTCGATGAATATGAGTCATTAATGTTCCTACATTCTTTTTTTTTTTTTTTTTTTTTTTTATGCGAAAAGTTGTCAACGAGCAGACGGTTCACCTGATGTTAAGTGAATACCGCCGCCCATGGACATCTGCTACACTCGAGGGTTACAGATGCGTTGACAACCTTTTGAAAATTGGGCTCCGGCCACCTCACTCACCAGACGAAACGCGAAAGTATTTGTCATACTTCCACTTTACGCCGGTCTTCTGTGAGGTCGTGGTACTTACCCGGACGGGCCTGCCCATTCGTGCAACAGCCGAGGCTGCTGCGTGGCCCTACCACCGTATAAAATTCTCTGTGAAATTGAGAAATAATTGGTTAGTTTCCTTTAAAAAGATATAATACGAGTAAATTGAACTATACAATTACAAAATGCAAACTTAATAACGCCGATAAGTGCGCATCGATTTATCAAATATTGTAATCATCGATTTATCAAATATCATATATTGTAAAAATTATATTTTTTTTTTCCCACCGAGTGTGCTCTGAACTGATAGAGAGATGAATAAAAGTTTGGTTAGAATAAAAATTTTCATTATTTGCGGAATGGTACGTCTGTAATTGAATGTCAAATACCTCTTTTTTGCCAAAACTGTGCGCGAACAAAGTATCTCTACGTACCTACATCTTGGAGTTAAAAACCTACCTAGGTTTCATCTCTAATAAAGTATTATCAGTTATCTAACTAGATGTGTGTGTGTGTGTGGTTATGTCATTTCGCAATTAATTTCAGAGCTGTCTTTAATTTCTTAGTTCGCGCAATCGCCATACTCTTTTTGCTTCCACACAATAGAATCACAAATCCTGATCAGGGAAGCCAGGCATTGTTATACGTTCTTCGACTTTTTCGCAACAACTGTATTATGTGCAAACACAGTTATGAATACCCTTATCTATTGGGTTAATGTCCATCGCTCTATGATGGCATTTGTATTATTGTTACGGCCGCTCGCTGCGGCTTCGCTCATATGCAATTCAGTTTACCCAGTGAATGTAAATGTTTGTGGTAAATAATTATTTTAAAAGTTCCCAAATGTTGCATATTGTTGCAATAAATAAATAAAAGTTGATCAGAATTCAAAGAGCTTAACCATCCACTCATGATATTTGAGAAGCCATTTGACAGCTGATTAGTTAATATCTACGATAATCAGTGTTTCAAAAACCGGTCGTTATTCTGTTATGAAGTAGCAATCAAGCGGAGCAATTTGTAAACAATTTGTAATTTCATTAAAAAAATTGTAAACTCGCCGCATAATCTTTCATATCTGTCATGATGAAAAGCTGAATCATTTGTTTTATTTTTGTTGATAGTACGCCAAATTCCGGTTGAACGACCGCCGCCAGTAATCCGCCCTACCTGCTAGTGGCTCCTCACCGCTGAATACTTGATGAAATGTCGCCCGTTTCATGGCCCACTTTGCCGTGTTACGAATAAGCCTGACCGCCGCCAAATTGTCGACTCCGTAGAGCACGTATCGTGTCCTATGAAATTTATATGATATCACGTACAGTAAATTTCCGCTTGGCTTCGTGCATATCTCTGTGAAAAATGCACCGGATGGGCTATTTTTATGCGTGTTTCGATACCGAACAATTTTTAATTTGACTTTAGGAAAATTTGAAATTAAGAAGAGGTGAAAGTTAGAGAGAAATTTAATAGGAAAGCTAAGGTCAGAAGACAAAGGACTAATTTTAGTATAAGATGGAGGCCCTTATAACGCCACAAAGAACGTCAACCTGTGTTCAACAGCGGGCGTCTTCTGGTGATGATGATGAATCTTCTCGAGGTCACTTACTCGATTGGCAGTACGCTTGCAATATCTCTGCTTTTGTTCGTGTCGTTCGTGTGTTTAGTAAATACTTTTTAGGACGCATTTTGTACACAACGTAAACGTCCTAAAAAGAAAAGAAAAAAATGTTTAGTAAATGAAAATTATTTTTCAACCAAATTCTAAAAAGGAGGTTCTCAAACGGGTTGGTTTTTTTTTGTTTTTTTTTATATATTTGAGCCCTCAGAAATCGTTTCTTTTTTAATCAATTTTAATAATTATTTTTGTAATTGGTTTGTTTTAAATCCCGTGTGGTGCCGTCGTATCACGTGTCCCGTAATAATAAATGAATTATTTGGTAAGGGATCTTGAACTCCGGAGATAATTCGGAGACTCCTGAATCAAATAGAAAATGGATTATATAACGTATTAAGTGATTGAGATATTTGAAGTCGGTTTTGTTTTTTGTTAATAAAAATGTACTTGTGTTATATAAAATAAAAATAATTACCGATGAATACTCAGACTGAACCAATACAAGGCGCGTATAAATATTGATAACGACACGATTCGACCAAATTAAACGACGCGACACCGCAAAACTGGTTTTTTATTTATTGGAACATGTTATCTCCATCGGCATATCAATCGGGCGAACTTGTTCCCGATACGTAAAAACTTTATGTATTTATTTGTTTATTTGCAAGAATAAGGGTAATAATACATAATGGTCTTAAATCTAATACAGAATATCACGTTTCTGCCTCTTTGATAGGCGTGCAAATAATAATTATTTTTATTTCAATTAAGGCATTATTAAGATTTAATAAAAACTAAAAAATATAATATAGATATATGTTATATTAATTGTCAAACATATGTCAAAAAGAAAAAGCAAAGAAAACTTACATGTCTCACATCAAATTGCTATATATGTCACTTATAAAGTGACATAAATAGCAATTTGATAATTACATAATCGATAATTTATATTAATTTAATAATCATTTTACACACAAAATTAGTTACATGGTTACAGAGAGACTATAAAAACAGATGCTGAGTAGCCATTCGTTGATCGAATGTTTACGTTTAAACGTTTGAGTTGTTTCATTTTTTATTGTGTCTGGCAGATGATTGTACACACGGATTGTTATGTAGAAAGCATTCCTGCTAAAGAAGGAGTTACGTGACTTGGCAAGAATAATTTATTTTTGTTCCTAGAATTCCTCTGTGTTACATCAGACTGTTTCATAAATAATTTTAAATTTTGTCAAACAGATATCCCTCATACATACATGGTAAGGGAAGAATTTTTAATATCTTAAAGTGTTTTTTGTACTACAAATGTTTTCTGGCTATCGACAGAGTTACCCCATAACAATAAACCATAGCGTAGAACTGAGGAAACATATCCATGATATGCACAAAGAGCTGCCTCTTGCGACACTATTCTCCGTATTCGTCTTAGAGCATAAACAAATCGATCTAATTTCTTTCAAATTTTAAAAATGTGCTCTTTCCAATTGCATTGTTCATCAACAGTTCATAACAGTTGTAGCATGTAGTTTATGACAATAAATGAACGCGTGTTCATGCGTATATAGAGGATAAATTTTTAAAATTGTATGAAACATTTACATTCTTTAAACATCTATATTTACTGAGTTAGATTGAGAGTGAGTTAAATTTTCCAAAACAACGAATTTTAGAACACCTTACGTATAAAACTGTAAATTTCATTTGTAAAGGTCACAAAGCATATGAATGGGTTCAGAAGGAGAGGCTTGTAATGCGACGCTGTGACAACTAATGAAAAATTCTCTGAATGTATGAATCAGTCAGTTGTAGTTGTACAGGATGTTACAAATTTTGTTTCTTCTTTACTTCATTAGTTTGTTTGAAAAAAAAATTATTAATGGATTTTTTTAACGTTAATATTTTTTATGATTGTGTGTGTTCATTTATTGTCGCGATTGTAAAGACATAAATATATATATGTGAAATGTATATATGTGAAAAGTTATCAATCGAGCAGACGGTTCACCTGATGTTAAGTGAATACCGCTGCCCATGCTCATATGCTACACCCGAGGGTTCCAGATGCGTTTGACAACCTTTTCAAAATTTGGCTCCGGTGATCTGACTCACCAGACGAAGAGCTATCACGGCTCCGACTATAATAAAATAAATTTTCAAGGCATCATCCGCGCTAAAAAAAAAGATGCACAAGATGTTTTAAATATTGGTTTATTCTTAACTTTAATTTGATATGTGTAAACAAAATCACCTTTTTGTCGAGAAAAGAGCGTTACATGGAATTTGGCAACACAGAAATTCCCGAGGCTGCTAAATTAGTTCGTTGGGGCTCAATCATCTGCGGAGTGTGTCCACTTCAGAGACACCTTACAAATTGCGTCCGATTTTAGTCGCTTTACATGACAGTTGAGCGACAATAAACGTATTCTATAAGCCCGGGACTAAGTACCAGCGTCCGTTTACAAACCGCGCTAACTCTGTAACCAACAGTTCAACGGTACCCTCGAACTTTACGAATGCCACGGACTGGGACAGCCTGCCGTGCTTCAACTTCACATCTACGGAGCGGGGCCTGTACACACGCCTGGACTGCTATAGAGCGGCCTTGCTGTCATTCGCCGCCACGACCGCCCCATTCGTCTTCTGCAACGTGCAGAAGACGAAGTATCTGCAGCTCTTCACATCGGGCATGCGCTGGCTTGGTAAGTAACTGTCGCTACGTTCAGAGCCACCGTTTTCTGAGGCTGGTTGTCAGAAACTAATAACACGAACTGCTACTACCCAGTGGCTGAAATGATCAGGCTCGAGTGGGGTTTTTATCCAAGTGAGTGAGGTAACCTTATACGTATCTCGGTAGCGACCTATTCGCGGAGAATGATGTGATAACACGGTGGTAGGGCCACGCAGAGGCCTCGGCTGTTGCACGAATGGGCAGTCTCGTCCGGGTAAGTACCACGACCTCACAGAAGGTCGGCGTAAAGTGGAAGTATAATACTTTCACGTTTCGTCTGGTGAGGGAGGTGGCCGGAGCCCAATTTTCAAAAGGTTGTCAACGCATCTGGAAACCGATCCCAATGGACATCTGCTAGCTTGGCAACTTTTCACATAAAAAAACCCAGTTTTTCAACATTTCAGTTAAAAACGCAAATGGCTTGTTTGTTTGACTTTCTTTTGAAAATTTCTCATCTTTGCTAGGAACTTTAAGACCATCGTGCAATTGGTAGCCTTTTTAGGTTTAGAGTTTAGCACAGAAGTATAATACTCCTGCTTCACGCTGATCTTTTGTGAGCCCGTGGTGCTTCCTCGGACAAGCCTATCTCTTGCATCGGTCATGGCTGCGTAGCTCCAACCAAGGTCTATTTAGTATTTTCATAGTTGACGGTAGAACGTTAAATGCAAAAGCTGTAGTATGCTTTATTTAGCCGCAGAAGCATTTCGCACACGAACTTTGTAAATTGGCACAGAGATGCTCATCTGTATTATATCTCTAGTTGAAAATCGATAACGCAAAATATATATAATTAATTTAATACAAAATATACATTATTTCTTGTAAAAATATTATTATGTTTTAGTGTGCTCTAATGCAAAATAAATGTTATTACAACGATATATGCATGCTCACAATATCTAGAACTGTATGTATGTTATTACATAGATCACTTAATACGTGATCAACCGCACATAACTCAAACAACCCGCTATCTGTCTACTTTCAAATCTCTCAGATACGAACGGCCTACTTACGTGCAAGGCCGTAAACGTATACGCGGCCATTTTAAACATTGTTATGGTGCCCGGCAACCATCTTTGCGTATTAGTCGATTTTAAGGTCTCTGCAGATAATGATGACGGGAGGCAGGGAACATTGACAACGCGAATTTGTCGCCCCAAAGTGACCATGCGCGAATCTCCCCCGCTATGCCGCTTCTTGCTCAAACTGTTTGCCGGTCATTAAAATTTATTTACATGATTCCGTGGCGCTGTTGCAAGGGTCAAGGAATCGTGGGTTCGATTTCCAATCTAGATAATATTCAATCTAGAAGTTAACGTGGAGAATAAATTATTCTTTTTTGTAAAATATTATAATTACAAATAACTAATAGCCTCCTTAAAAATATATAAAACTTATAATTATATACCGTCTACCTTTCGTATAAGTTCGTAAAATCTGTATAAAATCTATAGTTGTAATGCAAAAAATTAGGATGATATTGCTGATTAAAACACATTTTGAGAATTTTACATGTATCAGGTTGTCACATATTTTTTTTAAATGCACTCGTATTGGGAAGCACCAAAACGAAGATAGATAATACGTTTTATCATCGAGATAATTTCCCGAGAGGCTAGACGAATGTCCTTAAAATAGTTTCATGCAGTGCACTGTTTTTAGGCCCAAGATCGAAAATTGGAATCAAATGATTGGACCGAAATGGGCACACCAATGGTTTTTTTTTCTTATATGTGATATCAAAGCTTCACATAATAATTTCGCCAAGTGTAGTTTCCGTGCAGTTCACCTGATTTTAAGTTATAACTGCGACCCATGGACGCAGTTCCGTTGCCACTTTTAATAAAATGGGCCCCGGCTACCTCACTCACCAAACGAAACGCAGGCGTATGACACTTCCACTTCACGTCGTTCTTTTGTGAGGTCTTGATACTTACCCGGATGGACCTGCCTATTCCCCTGGCCTTACACAGTTATTCCGTCCATTGCGAGAGATTTGTTATTAATCCATACCAAAAAATTGTGTATAACATACGCATATGGCAGGTTCTTCGCCATATTATTAACGCGTTCGGTTGTTGTCAGCACCAGCTGTCTCTTTCTATCTAATCCGATGTTCACGATGTATGGGCACATGTTAAATTTCAGATTTTCTCCGTTACAGCGTTCGCCATAATGATCTCGATGGCTATACACTTGCTGATCGGGCACGGGCCTCAAGGTCGGCCTCCCGCCTTCGACTTTACCGGGATGCCGACACTCTTCGGGGCGTGCGTGTACTCCTTCATGTGCCACCACTCCCTCCCCGGCCTCATCAGCCCCATCAGAGGGAAGAAACGCCTCGGCTTACACCTCGCTCTGGACTACGCGCTGATAAGTATCTTCTATCTCCTCCTAGCCTTCACTGGGGCGTTCGCATTCGCGCACCTCAGCGACCTCTACACACTCAACTTTGTGCCAACAGACAACGAGAACATTTTGTTGGAGATCGTGGAATACTTCCTCGCTCTATTCCCCGTCTTCACCCTCTCCACAAGCTTCCCCATCATCGCGATTACGCTTAGGAACAACCTACAGGGCTTATTCCTCGACACCACCCGCCTGGAGTCGTATAACTTTGTCCTAAGGAAACTTCTGTTCCCCATAATAACGGTCGCTCCGCCATTGCTTCTCACCTATTTCCTGGAGGATATCGGCGTGCTGATAAAGTTCACCGGTTCCTACGCCGGCACAGGCATACAGTATCTAATGCCTACCTTCCTCGTGCTTTCGGCGAGACGCCACTGCACCAACCTGTTGGGTCTGGGTGTTGAAAATAAATACAAGAGTCCCTTTTCTCATGTCTCTTGGGCGGTGTTTGTACTTCTTTGGTCGTTCATGTGTATCATCCTAGTTTCTGTTAACATTTTTGAAAAGAACTCATGACGTTAGTATTATATAACATAGGCGAATATAATCTATTCGACATTTTATGCCAATCTGTACATTTAGGATCTGTGCGTGGTGTTTTATCTGTACCGTTTCGAATTAATTACGATTATGATGGCATCTTTTTGAGTTTAATAATGACGATTTAATAAATGTTAGGCGTAAAATAGGCATGAGATTACATTTCTTAATTGTTCAGTTTTGCGATATCGCTTATTTAAATTACTGCCTAACGCAATATGACCGCCAATGAAGTCGTATTTTTATTATATTGCCAACCATCCTATTGCTTGCTTATTATTGCTTTATTTTATCTGTTAACAGTATTTATATAAGGTCTTAAATAAGAAACAAGATGTATTAAAAAAAATTGTACTTTAAATTAATTTTTTTACTGAATTTAATGGCCACTTTTATTATTTTAATTGCGATATGAAATTACTATATCTTTATTATGTAGTTCCTGTTTTTTACTTTGTACAACTTGCGGATTTTAGTCATCCACATGCGTCGTATGAATCCAATGTAAACATAGTATTGTAAGATTTTTTAACTATCATTATAAATTACTTTCAATATGCACAACTGTAGAAGCGTGTAACTTTTTAGTATTAACTTAACTTTAATACTTATTCTTAAACTCATTTTCTGTGATTGTAACAGATTTTTTTTGCCTTTGTTTCATGTAAATTCCAAGTATTTATAAGTATTATTTCTGTATTTTTGTTCAAATTTCACGAATTCGATCCGAATACGATTCAAGTGTTTCATAACCTCCTCTACTATAAATCAATAAAATGACAATAATATTTATAAATGTTTCCTTAATGAGGTTAATTGTTAAGATAGGATTAATTAGTAGAACAGGACACTTCATTTTGGTAAATTTTGAATTGATGAGATATTTAAGGGTGCTAAGATTATAACTATCCTTTAGAGATGAGGTTGAAAAATTATTATAATGTTTGGAAACTATAATTGGCAGAGTCAATTTAAAACTTGGGTTAATAAGATTTATTTGGAATGCAGAAATGACGTTATTCAGAATTATTATGCAGTAACCAGCAGATGTAGCCATTTCTCTTCAAATTATATTTATATACACTAATGATATTAAATACAGGGAGATTTTTTGAGAAGTGCCCAAATTTACACAGGCGGTTCAGACTCGGTAGTATAATCGTTTATTGAAATAAAAAACAGTTTATTTTTTTTTTTTTCAAAAAAAATGAATGTTTGAAAAAAACGTGTTGACAATGCGGTAGTCATTCATAAATACCTAAATTTTACTGTGCACGAACTTGTGTGCGTGTTTGTTATGAATGATCGCGCGTAAAATATATGAGTTGCGTATAAATCACGCACTTTTTGAGATAAGTTCAAATGAATGTAATTTACGAGTATATAACATTATTTATGTCTAGCATTTAATAAAATAGGATACATTCAGAAAAGCCACCCTGTATAATATGAAAAAAGCATATTGATAAATGATCAGATAAAAATAACTTTACCATTCATTGAAGGCTCACTTTCTTTTTATAATCTACGTTTGTACTGAAACGTCGTAAATTTTGAAATGAATGTTAATAAACATCGAATAAACTTTCTGTATGTTTTATCTATTTTCAAAAAGGCGAAAGATATCGTAAAATATAGTAATGCATGTTAATTTTGTGGTTTTGCTATTTTCGAGAAATGGTACAACGCTTCTCTTAAAAAATAAATGACCTGGCTTATTCCTCTTGCCCTAAATTAGTACCAGACAAGTTTCCAAACAATATATAACATTATTAGTTACCATTTAATTAAGTTAGCAATAGGGTGAACAAATAATTCGACGAAAAACCTTTTGAAAGGGCTTGTGTTTTTACTGATTTATTTATACATTTAAATCAAAATAATATTCTTAGTACAATGACAGTCGATTGTTATTAATGAGAAAGTGAGTATAAATTTTACTATTTATATTGATACGTAACAAATTAGTATTCGGGAGTGATTGTGTTATTTGAAAACTGTGATAGAAGTACCATCGCCTTGTGTATAGCGACAGTAGTGAACTCGACTGATTTATTATCCTCGTTTATAGTGTGAAAATATTTTTTTATAAATAATTAAAGTTTATTTTGTGTGTTTGCATACGTGTCTTATTTCATTACCTGGGACATTATATCCTCCGGCAAAAATATTTATTGTTTGTAACTCTACAATAACGCAAAAGGGTTTTGATGATGGTCATCTGAAAGGGTAATAATATAGTTCTGAAGGTCTATAGGTATACGAAGGAAAACGAAAGGTCAAAGGTTGAAGAATTATTTATTTTATCATCATCATTACATATATTTGTCACTTATCGCGTACACAAGCGACAGAAAGCCTTTCATAGCTCAATTGACTTTGGCATGGATTTAGAATGTATTTGTGCTGGCGCGGCATTTTTGCGCCACGCCACTGATCTGATGCTGATCGTCACAACTATAAGCACTATCAGTGGAAACAAACGGAATTATCAACTAGTTGTAATTTCAATTCGAAACCCTAACAACGCACTGGACAGAGTTCAGTTGAAATTTGACTTCATTCGGCGTGTCCTTCACGCGTTTACAATACATATAGCAAAATAGATCATATCCATCCATAGCTTTAACGAACATAACGGCACAATTATTTTTTTTTCATTTAATTTTTTTTTAAATACGAACATTGCAGTTTTGAGCCATGTATTATTTAGTTAAAAGACAATACGTTAACAACAAAAACGACTAATTAAGGTGTGTACTATTTGAATCTCTTTATTTTATATGCCAGCAGAAAATTGCAACGCTCGTATGGGGGGGCCATAAGGATATTTTTAATCTTGATATTACCAATACTTTGTAAAATAATAGGATAGTTAATTGTTTTCTCTTTTATGCCCTGATCTGTATATTGTACAGTGCGAATGTGGCCTATTTAACAATATATGAGTAATTTTACTGTTTTATTAAGTAGAAAGTGTTATAAAAACATTTCCATATCCATCGTTAGTAATATACAGACAATGGCAAAGAAAAAAATCCGATAAATTTAAAACTATGCTTTGCATTAATAAATATAAGAAAACTGGTAACTAGAAGATAAGGGTCTTCTCAATTACTTTTCTCTTTTTACAAGGGAACCCAACCATCAAAAGACAGTTTTACATTTCATAACTATTAAAACATAAATTAATATTTTCCATTGTATATAAAAACAAAAAAAGTAAAAACTAGGTATCATTACACATAAGAAATTGAGTTAACGTGCATTGTACACGTAATGTAACAATAACATAAAAGTAAAAAAAATGAGATACCCATTAATTCATACAATTCGCAACTATAAAAAAATGGTAAAAAAATACTTTTCGACGCCAAACTACAACATGCTGCAATAATGGAATTATATTTATAAAAACACAAAAGACGCCCTTAGAACAAAAGTCTTTATCGTATTGCGGTGCAGATAAAGAAAATCGCGATCAGTGTGAAGCCTAAAGCGTAATAAATTTATATAAATAAGTACCACATTATTCGAACAAATTTGGTCGAAATGAAACGTTGGATTTCAACGTTAATAAATTATTTATGTGTACCCTTCTGAAACATCACTTACCAGTAGCTATTGGGGCTTCGTACGTATCCAATAACTAGAGGTAAGCTCGATTAGTAATATCATTTAGAATTCAATTTCACGAGTAGATACAAAGCACGAACTGTTCGCTTTTATATTGGCGCACAATATGAATGACAGATTCGCTTCTTTAAAAAAAATCATGAAAAGAAAGACAAAACATCGTCCCGTCGGACCGGAATGGCTATAAGTTACACTTTTTTGTGACTATTTTTTTTTTTAATTTCAATTTCAATTCGCGAGAGATACAAAGTTAACAATAAACTAGACCTATCCTCCGGCTCATCGAACATCTAAAATATTTTCTATATAGTCGAAAAGTACATCACAATAAATACTATAACTACAAGTATTACATATTTAACTTTTATAAGAAAGGTCGCGAGTGACGGCTAGGCTGGACTGTAGTGTCTCTACCGTTAACAATTGGACTATCGTATTCAATGTTCGCTATTGAAGGACGTTTACGAATGATACGGTCGTTCATTAGTATATTTCATGCATCAGCTGTTTTACGAAAGTACAGTTGAAGTAACTGGATTTTTTTTTATTATTAAACAGTTTTTATTAAGAACAGCACTACCACTCGAAGCGATTGAAAACGCCGAGCCGAGTATTATCTACATAATTAAGCTATCGTATAATAAGATTACGATTAATTTAACATCTATTCATATATAACGATCTATTGCGATTAGTAGTATTTTGTGACAAATGTATATAGCTGGCAAAATAATACGCGTCAAGTAAATTGAACGCACGATACATACCACATATATTATTATTATTATATAAATTTTATAAGCATCAAAGTATAACAGAGCCAGTGCGACATTTTCAACCACGTTCAAGTATGAATAAGTTTTCTCGTTTTTCTTTTATTTCCAAACCCCATCATTCATAAACGTCTTGTATGTGAATGGTGCTCCACGCTTTGTAAGTTTCTAAAAATCTCGCGTCCTTTTGTTATGTTCGCGCAAACTTAACGCTCTTTAACGGAAAACTATGGTATATCTTTGATTATTAGAGTAACGACTGAATTGAATTAATGAAAGCTACAAAGTATGTAGAACAATATCTTATATGCATTTCTTAACAGATTTCTAGTGTCGGCGAATATTGTTTAGCACATCTTGTTTTACGCACCGTAATATAGATTAGCCAACACACCTATCGTCATTAGTACGTGGAGTAATCAAGTATTATGTACGTCATTGCCATTTTATTGATTTGACATTTCGTGTGAAGTATTTGTTTTGTTTAAGTTGATTTTCAAATAATTATAATGATCGAAGAAGCTTTTATTTAGAGATTCGATGTTCGACTGGCATAAAAAAATAATCAATAGTATTTTACAAAACTTTCATCTAGGGAGATTGTTTGATGGACTCAAATTAGATAGTATAATAATAAATAAAAAATACTTTATACTCCATCCACTAACCCGATAGAAATGGGCTTGGAGCCCAACAAAGGCTGCTCCTAAAACTTACGACTTCACACTAATGTACGGACAAACGTTCATGCGAACGCGCACGAAAGTACACACGCAAGTAGTTTAGCGTGGAGCGTTGTTGCTTGCCTGTGTGAGTATGCGAGCATATGAGTAAACGAACTGGCGTCTTGACATGCGTTTTGGTTTACATGCGTGTCCGTATATGTGTGAATATGGTGTTCATTGACTCAAGCGTGGAGCGCTCCGACGGGTGCGATCGGTAAGAAATTTTTATATGCGTGCGTTAGATACTGGATACTGGGTCTTTTGATTGCGTAAGTGTGCGAAGGTATAATCAACGATCGCAGACTGGACGACCGGTCGTTGACATGTACGCACGCGAGCTTACATCTGCGTGTGTATGTGTGTGTGAATGAGCGGATTAAACGTTCGCGACCTTCACCGAGTTGCCGCCGGTCATCGACCTGGCGCATTCTCTGATGCTGTTTGTCTGTATGTATGTGTATATGTGTGTGTGTGTGTGTGCGTGGAGCGCGGCTAGCGTGCGCCGTGGCCGCTACAAGACGGCTATAAGACGGTGGGCGGCACCTCGATGTCGTTCCGCGCGAGCGCCGCCCTGAAGGCGTCGAGCGAGGAGCGCAGCGTGAGGCAGAAGCCGCGCGAGGCGGGCAGCAGCGGGTAGTCGGGCGGCGGCGCGTCCGCCCCGCGCCCGCTCGAGAGCAGCGCGAGCGCCTCGAGCCGGCGGCAGAGCGGGCCCGCGGCGGCGCGCATGTGCCGCAGCACCTCCTCGCGGAACGGCTCCGGCGGGCTGAGCGCCATCCGCGTCATCGACTGCACCAGCTTCAGCAGCACCATCTCGTTGTACATGCGCGAGTTCTCGGTGCCCTGCTGCGTGCCTGCGCGGTGGGGGCGGCCAATTAGCGGCCGTTCGCGCGAACGCTTCGCGTTATTTTGAACGGGACCGTACTGCGCGTTAAAATTTGCACAAAAAGTAACGAAAAGTCTTTCGCCGCTGTGGGAATTCCGTCTTCACGCTCGCGCAGATGAAATAACAGCAGTCTTAAGAGAGTGTGACTGCAATGTATTTGCGTATGAACAAGAGATAAGCAAACAGATTAATGTGGATTCTTCAAAAGATACTTTGTCACCTTACATGACAGGGTTATGTGGAGTTCTTACCCACTAAAACCCCTCGGTGGCCACACCCTGTAGAGGACTCCCCGTTTGGAGGGACTCCGGGATCTCTCACGGAACGCACCGGTGTCCCTCAGTACTGCGCGTGAGTACGCCTCGGAGAAGGATAGACCTTTCCCGATTCCCTCACCATCTTGCAGCAGCTCGAGGCCACTTCGAGCTGCTGCCAATCCGTGTCCCCTTTTAGTCGCTTTTTACGACAGGCAGGGAATACCTTAGCCCTATTCCAAAAGCCGGCGACTACAGGGCTAGCATGTTTGAAGCCTAGCGTTTAAACAAAGCGCACCCCGTGTGATGCCCGTTTTATTTATAAGCGGAACAAATACCCTTTTGCTTCTCGTAGCCGGCCTCGTTGAAGTAGGGCTCCGCGTTCAGGATGAGGCCCTGCAGGGACACGATGACCTGCAGCAGGGAGCTGTCCTTGCCCCACACCTCGACGCCGCGCCCCGACCACGTGCCCAGCAGGGATACGCACACCTGCACACAAACACACATTAATCTCGGTAATAAATAGCAACTAAGACTTTAAATGATTACCACCGCTCATAAACATTTACAACACCGAAGGTTTTGCAGATGCATTGTACCAATCTTATTAAACTGTGGTCACTGGTTACCTAAATCCATATCGAGAGCGTAGCCTCTCGTGATCGGAGTAAAGACAGGCTAAGACCGAGACTGATTGGGTAGTCGCTACCCAATAATTCTCGTGATGTTTAAGGTCTCCTAGATGGGAGGGGGGGGGGGGGGGCGTTGTTACCTTTACTTCCATCTAGAGGTGTTCAAGGTCGTAGGGGAGGGGGGATAATGCTACCTTTCCGTCCTCGTAGAGGTTGGGGTTGAGCCGGTCGCTGCAGTAGGAGTGGTAGTGGCAGAGGGGCGGCGCGCGCGGGTACTCGCCCCCCAGCTGCACGTCGAACACGAACAGGCCCCCCTCGTAGGGGGTGCGGCTGGGGCCGGCGATCATCACCGACAGCAGGTCGATGCGGTCCTCGAAGCCGCGCACCCACACCTGAGGCACACGTGCTCTTTATACGGCGCCGACACAATGCCAAGCGACAAACACAGCTGAGCCCGAGACAAATATCGCCGTACAGCCCTTGAGCGCCCTCTACATGGGCGTAAGTGTCGATTAACATACAAATACATCATAGTATCTTCGGATGGGGAAAAAACACGGCGTTCGATTTTTCACAACAATAACATCGTTGCGGTACGGATAATCGAATGGGATAGAATATGTGAATGTAAGTTCATGAGACAAGTACCCAGCTTCACTATTTCTACAAGACGGACGATGATAAAAGAAGATGTTAAGATACTTCTGTTCTTAGTTACTCCCAAGTATCTAGGTATCTCCTAAGTAGCTAGGCACAGATAACATACCAACCGATACCAGCTGAAAATTACAGTAAAATAACAGCGATGATAAATGTCTCACTGCTGGGCAAAGGCTCCTTCTGTACAGAGGGTATTAGGGTATAGTCCCGCCTGGTCAATGAGCTATGAACGGCTATCGCACTAGTCCGACAGTGTATATATTACTCTGTACGTTTCTCCGATGTAAACGATCAATCAAATGAGCAATCCTACCAGGTTCCAATTTCGTAAAGAGAAAAAGGGAGGGAGGGGGGAGGAGGTAAAAAAGGGGCGAGACTCACGCCCGGCGGCAGGTCGCTCTTGAGCAGCTTGATCTCGCGCTTCACCGCCGAGTAGAAGGTGCGCGGCTCCGAGGGCTGCAGTATGAAGAGGCGGAAGCGGTGGCCGGCTGGCGCGCTCTCGAGCAAGCAGAACCCCTCGCCCCCCTCCGCCTCCGCACCCGCCCCCGCCACCGCCCCCGCACCGATCGCCCCCTCCGGAGCGGGCTCGGAGGGGGCGAGAGGCGCCGCCTCTTGGCCGCCGCTCGCTGCATTCACCACGGTCTCATTATTGTTTCGTTACGTTTCGTATTTTCGGACACATTTTTGTCACACAACGTTCTCTAGTCCCAAACTAAGCAACGCTTGTATGATGGGGACTGGAAAACTGATAAACATACTTAAACATACTTTTCTTCTTTAAATAAATAAATATTAAACATATATAAACACCCAGACGCTGGAAAAACACGATGTTTATCACATAATATTTTTCCAGTATTGGGGATCGAACACACACCCTCTGGCGCAGGAGGCAGGGTCACTACTCTCCACGCCAATCGGGTCATCGTATTTCGTTTCATTTCAGGTTTCATCGAATTGTCTGTCTCTCTCTCTCCGATAATTTAAACACTTAAAATTTTTAACAGTGTTGAAAGAGTTGACTTTCCGTTTAGTATACACGAAAATAACGTTAGCTTTGTTTTTTTTGTATAATATTTTCCTTTTTTATAGATTAGCTAAATACGATTATGCTATGAGTACAACAAATACTCTTGTGAATGATGTGACAACTTACTTTTAATTTTTTTTATAGTTGTTTTTTTTTGACGGTTGGAAATTTAATTAATTACGTACATAATTAATAAAAATTAAAAAAAAATTATAAAACTATTTAACAAAATGTTTTTATTTTAAATTTAAAATAACGTTGGAAGTGTCACTAACTGGGTCAGGGTCAATAACTGGGTCTTTTACCTTATAATTGAGATTACGTGTAAATTTTTGCCATAAAATTTGTGTTTATTAAACTTTGTGTACATGTAATTTTGTAGGTAATATAGTCCCAAAAAAATACATAAATTATGACGGAAAAACAGTTATTTTGAAAAATACTACTTAAAAATATTGGCAGCCTTAATGCTGACCAGAACTGTGAACTGAACTACGAGCGGAAAACGACTACTAGGAGGACGGCGCTAAATGAAACTCCTTCCATATTTTTAATATTCCGACTGAAACAATAGGGATGTCGAAAAATGGCGATATATCTATATCATCAGCCGATTTATTTGGATCCGACACATCGATACAAAATATTCAATACTGAAAATCTTATCAAAAACTATATTTATTAATTCGAATCCGGCACAGAATCCGTTGGTGTCGAATATTTAATTCTTGACATATCCTTTTTTTGGACAAAAGGTTTTCTACGACCTATATCCTATATATCGATATTTTCTCTTCGAAATATAGGCCGATACTGATATTTTTATAAACATCGATATATTTCTTCACTTACGACATTTCGACTGTATCGATGGTCGTGAAACAAAAAAAAAGAAACCCCCCCCCCCCCTAAACTCACCCTCCCCCTCGTGCGAGGCGGCCGTGGTGGTGGCGGCGTCCTTCACCCCCGCCCCGACGACCTTCACTTCGGCCCCCTTCTCGTCCAGGTCCGCCATGCTCACCACCAGAGCACCGTATTGGCTGTCGACACATCGACCAACAACGCACCGATCAGGCGACGATACATATTATGTTAAGTACAAACAGAGCTGCACCCCCCCCCCCCTCCTTTCATCCTGAAGCGTCGGATTAGGATTCATTAGGAACATTCATTTCTATTTAATGATTAAAAAAATATCAACAAATATCATCGAACTTTGACCAAGTACAAACCTTACAATAGAGCTGGTCTACATGACGATATAAACTTCTGAAGTGACGTGGATATAAAATATTCGAAAGTATTTATCATACACATGGAAAGTGTTGAGTATAAGAAAATCATTTAGGGAAAGGATAACATTTGGAAATAGTAGGTGTCATGCATATAAGTATGGAAAAGAACACGCGATCTTACAAACTCTACACATTTTGTGTAGAATTCCATTTTTTTCGTAATAGTCTCCCAATTGGCTTTTTTAATCAATGTATCTATATATAAGCAACTCACACACACGCAATAGATTCACACACTGAATACATTGAATAACATTAAAACAATTTACAGTAACACACATATAAAGCCGTGTTAATTTAAAGTTAGGCAATCTGGTTCGAAAGTGTTTGTAAAAATAAATATATACACAAAGTACAACATGGTCTAATATAGATATTGATTTTTTATCGAAGTTGTACAGTACGTCCACTTAAAATGAGAACTTCGGATTCAAACGCATATATTTTTTCATATTCAATAAAAGTTTTCTATAGTTTTAATACTTCTTGCCGTTTTCTTACCATCGATTGCACAAGACTTTCGGCCAGAAATGTGAAATTCGATAAGTACAAGTGAAAAATGAAGACAACTTAGATATAAACTTATAGTAAAACACGCAAGACTTACATTAAACAAACATCTGAAATGACAAAACTACGCGTGGAAAAACTACATGTAAGAAGTTGTCGAACGAACCAGGTATTTATTCGAAAAACGGAGAAATTATGTTACCACTTTTTCGCAGAGTCATCTACAAAACAATAAAAAATAAACAAAAAAATATGATAATAAACATAATAATGTATATTCGATTTTGCATAGAGTTTTAGTTTTATTTTGACTTTATCATATTTTTACAAGAAAAATTTAATAAAGAAATGTATAACTAAGTCAGAAATTAGGCTAAACGCCAATTATGTGATGAGTTTATATAGAACATAAGGAGAAAATTTAAACTAAAGTTATATTATGGTTTAAAAATGACGAGATGAGTAAGTAAATGGACAAATGTAAGAAAACAAACGGAACAAATACTTATTCTTTGTTTAATATAAGTATTGCGGGTCCTTCCATTGAGTACCAATTGGTTATGAGTATTAATAATATTAATAACATAAAAAATTTAGAATAGTGCAAAGGCTATTTTAAATTAAAAAAAAAACAATTACACAAATAGATAGTTACCATTGAGGTTTAGATTATTTCAATAGTAATTGTAAGTTTCCAGATATATGTGTTGTCACAGATAATAAAAAATAAATTAACAAAAAATAAACGCAACAATATTTGTAACCGCAAATGAGAATTCGGATGGATGTCTGTACATCATTTGAGACGGAACATTATATTGGTGATTCTTCAAGTAATAATTATTTTCTAATGGCAACTTCTGGAATTTCATGTATACATTTTTAAATATTAAAAAAAAAAACATTTACGAACATATCTGTACGAGTATTCATTGTAAGTACGATGCACAGATATCCTGAAGCGAAACAAAGGTAGAGAGGCGGAAATAAAATATAATGCAATCTCACACTGAAAAGTGGTAGGGTAACTTCTCTTCCATCGCGTTTGAATCTTTCACTAGGTTGTTAAGGAATTCGGCCAACTCTTGCGGCCTTCTCCTGCGGAAGACAAATTAAAGCCTTTACACAAAGCTCCGTGTTAATGTAGCAATATTTATTTAAAACACAGACACCTGTAACTCCACACACCTGTCATAATTTACGGCCCATTCAGAGGCGCCAATAAGTATTTCAGCTACATTATTTGACAACGAAACATATAATAATGCTAAATTAATGATGATTTTTGGCTAGTCGACTAATTGACATCTCTGAGTCCGTGAAACTCTTAACCAAAAATAAATATGTCCATCAATAGATAATATGTATTAAAAAAGGCATTTGAACTCTCTTCTTAAGCAGTGAATATATTAATGTAAAATAAGTTTTTATGTTATAAAGATACATAAATATATTTAAAAAAAAATCAAATATATGCATTCTTTTTTGCATCGATAAAAACTAACTATGCTTTTAACTACGCAAACACATCGCTTATGATCCTACACAAAAGCACACACTGTGTTACGAATATAATCTACACATTCTTTCGCCATCATTTTTAATGAAATGACTTTCAGTGAGGTGAGTGACTCCTTTTACTCTTAATAAACCTCTTAAAAACAATTATATAGATCATATCATGGAACGCTATTAAATCCGTCAAATCCTTTCGTTTAACAAATACAGTCGCGAAAATACAAAAAAACCTTACTCAGTTATATTTGTACACATAGTGGATTAACTGTTTATCTGTCAATAGGGACTGTTTTGTATCATAATAAAAAAAAATAAAAAATATAAGTTGCATGTAACATACCGGCCTACTTCAGCATGCGCCTTCATCAATTGAGCGTGTATTAGCGAGCACAGCTTGTAGCACACGTTGCGGGTGGTTCCATCCGCTTCCTTCTCGCCGGTACCTGAAAGTTATAGAGGATTTCCATTGTTTAAAGTAATCACATATTTAGCATCAATTCAAGTTCAGAGGGTTTTTTTTAAAATCTTAAAAGGATACCGGTCTCCTGGGACGTGGAGTGTGTGGGTATGAATCTTAAGTACTATATGTATTAAATTCCTCAAAAAAAAAAAGGAAAGTAAACAGCGTATACAACTCCCACTGCTGGGCAAAGGCCTCATGTCTACAGAGGGTATCAGGGTACAACAGTCCAGCACGCGGCCCCACTGCGGATTGGCGGACTTCACATTTCATCGAAATATTTTTATTACTTCGAAAACATGTAGGATTACTCACAATGTTTTCCTTCACCGCTGAGCATGTGATAATTCAGCATATAAATTAGACAATTTCATTGGTAGTTGCACCGGGATTTAAACTCAGGATGCTCGAGTATATTGAATTAAAAGCGAGTGACCTAGCGACACTGAGCTAGCCGTGATAGCATTCCACATACATTGATAGAATTGACATAAAGCTCATACCAAGTTAGAGAAAGTTGTGCATGCTAAATTAGCTTAGGGGGAAGATATAAGAACTGGGAATCTCAGCGATAGTTACTGCCCAACGTATGCATCATATAGTATGTAATCATCATCACGCACATAGTATTTTTATTAGTTTACCGTTTTCGGCCGATGTGTTCTCCGCAGAAACGAATTCAGATCCGGACGGCTGGACGGCTTCGATGTTCAGGTGCAAAGGCTTTTTCGGTGAGTTCGCCTCGATCTATTGAACATTGAGATGTCTATTATTGCACTGGTTTTGGTAATAATAAGCTCTATATCGCAACTAGGGTGCTAGGTAACTGATGAAACATAAAACTACTTATTTTTTAAGACAGAGAGACTAGAAAAGATCATGATAAAGTATATTATGTAATATTAGCGAACGTATTATTTTCGCACGCCCTGTAAAATGACTAGAACAATAATATGTAAACTACTGTAATGTGTCCTTATGCCTAGCTTATAAAATATTATTATTTTTTCTTTCAAAGACAACCTCTGGCGCCAGAGACAGATGTCAACTAACCGCTACGCCAAACGGATCGTCAAAATAAATCACCTCCATCGGTTCGACCGTCACGTTGGAGGTGACGATCGCGCGGCCGTTCTCCTTCTCAGCGTCGTCCACCAGCATCGCGTCGAGCGCGTCGCCGGCTGGCTCGGCTGGCTCGACGGGCTCGGCGGGCTCGGCTACTGGCTCGTCCGACTCGCTCGGCGTGAACAGCCGAGCCAGTTGCTCGTGCACGCGTCGCTCGCCGGCGCGAGGCGTGCTCGCTCCTCTCTCACGCACGCGCTCCAGAAGGCCCTGCAACGTGGTTTTTAATTAATTAGTAGTTATTAAATGAACTACTTTACGGATTTTATCGCGTTTTTTATTATATAAATTAATAAAAAACGCGATAAAATCATAGTAAAGTAATGGTAAAGTAGTTTCATTTAATATGTATAATATTCGCGTAAAATCAAGAAAACAATATAATTATTAGTTGTTCCGCGACTTTGTCTTTTTGATGTGAAGTATCTACTGCGACGGGTTAACCTACCGTGGACGCGGCGACGCATCGTCACGTAATGCGCCGCCACAACATATGTAAGTCACATTTTATACACTGCGGTGATATCGATAAAGAAAATTATTGAATTTCTAATTATTGTAAATAAAAATATTTGTAAAATAAACTGTCATCATTATGTTCAAAAATAAAATATAATATTATTTTTCACTATGCCATAGTTTTGGTTTTATGCAAATTATCTGTATAACAAAATTTCGATGCATAATATCAGTGAGGCGTCCGGCTAATTTTTATTTTATGTGAAGTTGTCAAGTGAGCAGGCGGTTCACCAGATGTCTATAGGTAGTGGTATTCTCAAGTGAATACCACTACCTATAGACATCTGCAACACCTGAGGGCTTGCCATTGTGTCGCCAACATTTGTAGTAAAGACAAATGTAGTTCCCAGATACCTCACATACCAGACGAAACGCGAAAGTATAATACTTCCACTACACTCCGGTCTTCTGTGAGGCCGTGGTACTTTCCTGGAATAGCCTGCCCATTCGTGCAACAGCAGAAGCAGTTGCGTGGGCCTACCATTTTTTTTATGCGAAAAGTTGCCAAACGAGCAGACGGGTCACCTGATGTTAAGTGAACACCGCCGCCCATGGACATCTGCTACACCCGAAGGTTACAGATGCGTTGACAACCTTTTGAAAATTGGGCTCCGGCTACCTCACTCACCAGACGAAACGCGAAAGTATTTGTCATACTTCCACTTTACGCTGGTCTTCTGTGAGGTCGTGGTACTTATCCGGACGGGCCTGCCCGTTCGTGCAACAGCCAAGGCTGCTGCGTGGCCCTACCATAGTAAATGTTATCAAAAAATTTTATTCACTTTTCAGTTAAGTTGTCTTATTTATTATCATATACACGATTTACATTACAACATTCGAAAAATGATTTAATCTGACTGAGCTGGGTTTATTAAGTGGCATTATAGTATTTTTTTTAACTGATCTTTTTGCTTTCAGTCCCGAGACTATTAAAGCTTCATCTGACGCAGGACCGGTGGGGCTAGCCAGAACCCACGGGTTTGGGCCTTCCGCTGTGGCATTATAGTATATATAGCCTACTGGTACCTCTAACTGTGAATTGGCGTTATAACATTACCGAAAACAAGACTTTTTAAAAACAACGCTCAGGGTACTAGAAACAAAGAAATAAGGATATGTCTCGCAAATAATCGGATTTATTTCCACATTTCATGGACACGAAACCCTAATTTTCTAATACCGAAAGTCTGCCACTGAAAGTTACGTTAAACTTTACCGTGTTATTTTTTGTGTTACTTTACGTGTATATAGAAGACATTATTTAGAAGACATTCAAATATTATAATACATGAATTATTTTCCCCAAATTGACGACCATAATATTGGACGCAATAAACGTTTCTTAACTTACTTCTTTATATTACAGCTTTATTACTCAAGAATTTTTTTAAAGACCTCATTAGTATTAACACCAAGTGATTGTTGTATTTATTACAAGCAAGAGCTAATGGTTGCATAAGTTGATAATTTAAAAAATACTTTTACATTTTCTTTGGCCATGTAGAATTGGGTTAATAAATGTATTAGAAAAATATTTTACCAGGAAGTGATCCTCGTGGAAGAAAGTTGTGCCCATCAAGCGATCCAGGAAACGACAGTCCTTGTAGAGATTCAGCAGTTTCCTCATTATCTGATAAAAAATATATGATCATAATTATTAAACTAGTCTTCAAACATTATCTATACACTCATATTGTGTGGTTAAAAAGATTATTCAGAAACTAAGTGTCTATGAAGGATGTACAACACTTCAGAGAGTGTAATCAAAATGTATGTGCTTAAAAATAATGGCTAGTTAAGTAATGGCGGAGTTGCAGATTGTAATGAATTTTTAGCGTTTGCCTTGAAACATAATTATACAGTAATACCTCGACTTGCGCGAACCAGGCCTTTACCAAGCAGGGGAACAGGTAAAGGCGAATAATAACACTAGATGGAGCAGCGATATTACATAAAAATGCGAGGTAGATCATCTATCTCTATCTCGCCGAAACATATCAGCTGTACATCCATGAATAAAAGCGGAACAATTTAAAAGCAGCGCATTATGAGCATGCGTCATCTTTATTAAAACATCATTGAGATGGAGTGACCTGCGCAAATATGAGGGAAGTCGATGAATGCATGTATTTCGTGTCGTGTTTCGTGGCAAACTGTCAAAGAGGCCCATTTTTAGTCATGGAATAGAACATTCTAACATGAGGATGTTTGTCACGACTTGTGTTTTGTGTTTTTACAATATACAAACATTGCCCTTACTTTAGGATAACATTATTCTTTGTTGTAAGGATGTCTTACAAATATAAATTTCACGTAGATAGACACCCAGATCGGAGACAACTATTTGTGGGACGCAAAAATAGTTGTCCCGTGTGGGAATCGAACCCACGACCGACGCCAATAGCTTGGCAACTGCGCCACGGAGTCATCAAAGACTTATGTTAGTGTTGGCCGGTCCAACGGGGGCCCACCTCCTGGCTCTGAAGCGTCGGGTGCTTGGCGAACATGTCCTCGAGGCGGCGCATTGCCAGGCGGCCGCGCTCGATGTGCGCCGCCACCCTCGGCTCCAGCAGCCGTGGCACCGTCACGCTGGCAACGCTGCTCGTCACGCCGCTCGTCACGCCCGTCACGTTGCCGACGACCGCCTCTGGCGCGGCCTCCTCGCTCGGGCTGTTGCCCAGCACTGCGAACGTTGCCCATTTTAGTGCACTGTTGAAGCGACGCGCTGGCGTTAAAGCTAAATGCGCCGAGCGAAGTTGGCACCGCGAGTTCTGTGCACCTATCGTCGAGTTAGAAAATAACTTAAACTTTTCTTTCTCTTGCTCCTATCTAAAGTAAGTGGGGACGGCACAGCTGGTGATTCATGTTGTTAGTGGTCCGACGTCAACCCTCCTTCAGAACAAACACCCAGATCCGTAACAATTAACTGTGGGTCACAAAAATTCCCATCCGGGCATTGAATCCACGACCCCCGGTGCCGAGGCAATAGCAACTGCGCAACTGAGCCAACAAAAAAAAAATCACCTAGCACACATACATCGGCATCATGATTCAACAAATGAAACATCAACATAATTGCATAATTCTCGATCAAATTTAATGATGCAAACATCATTTTAAAAACATAATTTGAATGTATAATAATGCCATCTATTGACAACTCAATTAAAAATAGCGAAATAGACTGAATATAACTGTTATCCTTAGGAATAAGATGCCTATAATTGATAAATGCTTGTTTGCACATTATGTACTATGTTACGGCACTGTGAGAAAACAAAAGAATCGCTGCGTCACCTGGCAGGCTGATCTTGCGCCTGGGGTGCGGCCCGTAGTGGGCGGGGTGCGGGTGCGCGTGTTGGTGGGCGTTCGCGGGGTGCGCGGCGGGGTTGGCCGCGTTGGCGGGGGGCGGGGGCGCGGCGTCCGGCGTGCGCGGCTCGTCGCGCGCCGAGCTCTGCGTCTCCCACGAGTCCTCCGAGCCGGAGCCCTCCGAGCCCCACAGCTCGCCCTCCTCCGAGTCGTACTCGCCCACCTGCAGGTAGGGGTTTTTTATGCTAGTCGTGAAGCGAGTAGGCGGTACACCTGACGTTGAGTGATATGCAGGTTGCAGAAGGATAGCAAACAAAATAATCGGCGACCAGCGACTTGTGTCAATTTCAAATTTCGATCTGTCATCACCGATCTAGGGGCGAGATCGAATCGTAATGTTTCCTTCTCACTCTGACTGGTTCATTGGGCATCTCGCTAGCTCGCTCGACGCGGCGTCGAATTCGAATCGTTAGTAGTAGTGAATTGCCGCGAGACCGACGTGAGATCGTAGCGCGAGCCCAATCTCGAGGTCATTCGAACAGACTCAAGTAGAATTTTAAGAAAGTCAGATCGATTCAAACGTCACGTCGACTTAGTCGACTTATGCAATTCAACGCGCCCATCGTTAGGGTTGCAGATGCGTTGCCATATTTTAAACTGGGACTCGGTTAGCGCATAGTGTAAAATTTCCATTTCACGCCGGTCTTCTGCGAGGTGGTGGTACTTCCCCGGACGGACCCGCCCATTCGTGCAACAGCGAAGACTACTGCGTGGCCCTACCACAGGCGAATTCTTTAAAATAAGATAACGTTCCTTGATCAATATTTAATTTCGCATTATTACACAACCCTTTATGATCGCGATACTGTGCGAAAATGTAGACTAGTCTTAATATACAAACATTAAAAACAAAGGAGAGCCGTAATTTTAAAGTCATAACGTCTTTATTTAGTTAACAAGACCTCATAAATAAAAAAAAAAGTAAATGTTCTTTTAATATACACATAGAAAAGTGTATGCAAATAATGTTTTTATTCCCTATCTGTCTAGAGGAATTTTCATAGAGAAAACGAAGATGGTAAAATAAAAATCGCCTATGTCGCTGCAAATAAACCAAATTACATGTCTAAATGTAAAGGGATGGGATTACCTTATACAAATCCTGAGGCCAACACATACTTGTGTGTCCATCAACCCACCACACCTTCACGCGCCCCGTCGGGAAGTTGTCTATGACCTGAAATAGGAATCGTTTAATCACCCAATCCTAAGATACTCCCTCCATCGCACTAATTAAGACGTAGTTAAAGTAAGTAGGCACTTTAATTTAATTTAAACCGGATATCGCTTGTGATAATACCGATAATTTTTTTGAGAAAAAAAACCTGTTTACATTAAATCAAATTCAAATTCAAATCTTACGACGTAAACACGTGCGCGATTCAATATTATGATGTAAATAAAAGTACGGTGGTAGGGCCACGCAGCAGCCTCGGCCGTTGCACGAATGGGCAGGCCCGTCCGGGTAAGTACCACGACCTCACAGAAGACCGGCGTAAAGTGGAAGTATGACAAATACATTCGCGTTTCGTCTGGTGAGTGAGGTAGCCGGAGCCCAATTTTCAAAAGGTTGTCAACGCCTCTGTAACCCTCGGGTGCGGCAGATGTCCATGGGCGGCGGTATTCACTTAACATCAGGTGAACCGTCTGCTCGTTTGACAACTATTCACAAAAAAAAAAAAAAAAAAAAAAAAGACCACTTACTCATGGGAGACGATTAATTACATTAATTATACACACACTGACGTGAACCTAAATATAATGATTTGTTCCTGGACCACTTATTTCTCACAGATTCTAAAAATATATTAAACTAGATCTGGACTTATGCTCATACTTTTTTTTATTAAAAAAAAAAACATTGCCCTTACTTTAGGTTAACATTATCCTGTGTTGTAAGGACGATTTTTTTTTTAAAGATTTCCTGCTATTTGATACAGGCTTATAAGGACGATTTAAAAACATAAATTTCACGCGGACTAACACCCAGATTCGAAACAACTATGTGTCGGTCACACAAATAGTTGTCCCGTGTGGGAATCGAACCTACGGCCCCCCAACAATACCTTAGCAACTGCGCCACGGAGTCATCAATATGTAGTAGTATGAATATGTAGTTTGTTACAAACAGACCTGTCCGGCCGTACAGTTGGCGTCTTCCCCTGTGAAATTGGCCACTCTTATGACGACCGTGCCCGGACGATACTGGAAGTCCGGGTGGTCTTTCAGGTCGTACACGCTCATCTCGCTCTCGTTCAGCATTTGGGGCCTGAAAAGACATTAAAAAAATGTTAAGTTTAATATTAGCAAAAATATAAGTTCGCCTGCGAATTTTCTAAACCACTTTTACTTAAAATCTAAATTCACAAATCAAATAATTTCGGCATAGTTTTAAGATCATCCTGAATTGAAGGAAGGTTTTTTGGTCAAAAACTCACACAGGCTCCTCGACGCTGGTGTAGGTTCGATACCAGTGCACAATGGCTGTTCGGCCGTGGTGGTCCACGCGCTGCACCACACCATATTCCCTGTGCTTGAGCTGCAATGATTTGTTACATTATTTATTTTGTATATACATCCTGTCGTATCAAAAAAGCACAAACACAGTTTTTATAAGACGATGATTGAAATGACTAAATGCCGACTATGCGTATAACAAATCAATAAAATTGAATAAATAAAAATTTTATGAACATATAATTATATCTATTCAGATAGTGTTGACTTACTTGTTGGTTTTCTTCAATGTTAGCTGCTCCGCTGACCACGAAATCTCCCGGAAAACATTCCTGACCGTCCAGATGGTGAATTGGATATAGTTGGGTAGATGGGATGCCCATCTCTATAGTTCCATCCTGTAAATAAACATACAATAATAATATTCCTTGTGTTAGCATAGTTTCGGATAACCAACTATGTACTTATAATTTTATTAATTCTGTAAAGGTAAATCAATACGTATTTATTCATTTATATAGACAAACCGTCAAGTAAGCATGAAAATAGTGAAATAGTAGGTACAGTACATTCTGTTTACAAGACTTTACAATATTGTTAAACACAAACATTACTGATACTAATTGATAGCCAGGGCTTTAACTCGTAGTGGTACTTCCCCGGAGGAGCCTGCCCATTCGTGCAACAGCTGACGTGTGGGCCTACTACATTTACTGGTACACTCGGCGGCACAACGAGCGTCTGTACAGTCACACTAGGGTACACTCGCCTGCCATACGACGTTCGCGCGGCTGGTGGTGTGCAGCGTCTCGACCACGACCCTGTCGCCGGTGCGCGGCGGCGGGGCGGGCGGGGCGCGCCTCACTGTGCGCTTCAGCCGCTTGCCGCGTAGCAAACGCACCGCCAGCTGCGGCGACCGCTTGCCCCGCTGCGACGCCGCCGACGAGCAGCGTGACGACCACGTCGCACCGCTGCGTGCCGAACGGAGCGTTATCGCGCCGTCCCGCTCACGCGCGTCAACGCAGGACGTGCGGAAACGGGACGGACTTCGTGCGGTCCGATATACGAGAATCGAGGAGGGCGGGGATCGCGGCATCGCTGTATCGTGTCCCGTTTCGGAATGAAGTGCGGTGTCGTCGTGTCGCCCCGCTCTCGCGCACGAGAATCGAACATGGGAAAGAGTAGAACGATAGACGGGTGTATCATAATAATGTCGTTACAGCGGTGGGGCGTGCGGAACGAATCGTACGGCAATATCTGTCACGGCACCAAGCAAAATTACTTTGGCGGGAGTTTATTCACAAGCTTCGTTTAAGTATGCCATTAAGTGGGTCGCCTGATCGAATAAACAACCGTTTACAATTTACAATCCCTTTCGACCTACAACTATGACATATCTTCCGAGGTTCAGTCGATACGAAAAAGCAGGCACGCTTGTGGCGTCCGAGAACGTTCACCACAAACTAGAGCAAGCACACTCGACAGTGGTGCCTCTCAACAGGGTGTTACCGGAATGTTCCCGAAAACATGTTTGCAAGTCTCTCTCGCCTGTCGGTGTCGCTGCCGTCGCTGCTCGTGTTCTCCCAGTTGTCCGAGTCGTCGTCGTTGGCGCCACCGTCGCCCGCTCGCCCGTCGCCGTTCAAAAGAGCGCCGTCCTCCTTCATCGGCTCGGGGCTGCGGAGATCACGTGTCGAATTACGCGGTGCTTTGTTTAAACTCGTCCCAGTCGTCTTTTCACGCAATTCACTGACAGCGTGTCATTACCATCGCGACAGCGTGTCGTTACCATCGCGACAATAAATAAACACACGTCTAACGCTACTTGCCAATAATCATAAAAAAATATTAACGTTAAACAAAATCCATAATTAAAAAAAATATTTTTCAAACAAACTAATTAAGTAAATAAGAAACAAAATTTGTAACATCCGATACAACTCGCGCCACAGCGTCGCATTACAAGCCTCTCCTTCTAACAGTATGTTTTGTCTCTTTTAAATTCATTCAACCCGTTCATATGCTTTGTGACCTTTACAAATGAACTTTACGTTATAGTGTTATACGTAAAGATGTTCTAAAATTCTTTGTTTAGGGAAATTTAATAACTCTGTAAATATTGATGTTTAAAGAATGTAAATGTTTAATACAATTTTAAAAAGTTATCCCCTATATGTGTGTTCATTTATTGTCGCGATTGTAAAGACATGGTGTATAATAATTCAAACTTATTTAACAAAACCGTAAACAAAAATTACTGGCACATGGGGATAAAATTTTTAGCTGTTCTTTTGTTACACGAAAGAAGCATAATTTTTAACATGCGCACATAAGTTTGCGAACGCGCTACTACGTTAAATAAGCACGAGTGAATAAGTTTTTACTGAGCTAATGTGCTTACCATCAATGGCTGCATCGCCAATTGCCACCAAGGATGGCAGTTAAACGCTGGCCAGATAAGAATTAAAAAAAAAACAGATTTCCCCGCGTCGAAATGCGCTCGGTTGAGGCTACCTGATGCCCGAGTCGTTCTTCTCCTCGGCGCCGGTCTCCTCGTGGCTGGCAGTAGACGAGCCGCAGTGGGCGCTGCGCTCGACCCTGATGCCGGGGCAGTTAGCGTCCGCCTTCAGCGCCTCGTCGAGCGACTCCAACTTGTCGTCCACAACGTCCACCTCCATCTCGTTCTGAGGGGAAAATCGGCTATAAATCATTTATCTGCAAACACAAGTGCATGCATTTAACAGTGGTGGCAAACTCTATCAGCACTGTGTCTAATGTGTGGGATGTCGATGGGTGCAGGTGGCTCAGGATCGTACCTCGTCGGCAGTCTATGGGGGAGGTCTATGTTCGGCAGTGGACTCAAACAGACTGGAATGATGATGATGCTGATGATGAAGAGGAACAGTGGTAGGGCAACGCAAGCGGTTCGGCTGTTGCGCAAACGTATAGGATCGTCCGGAGACGTACCTCGGCCTCATAGAAGACCCGCGTGAAGAGGAAGTATAACACTTTTGCGTTTCGTTTGCTGAGTGAAGTTACGGGGGCCCACTTATTTTAAAGGTTGAACCGCTTAGTCGCTTGACAAATTTTCACAATATAAAAAGAAAATCGATATATCTTCTCGCGTTCAGATTGTTTCTTTCTAGACAACGTGTTTATTTGATCGTTGCGAAAACGCGAATGGGCACCTCTTATTATACGTTTGCTCTTACCGACGAGAAATACGTTGCTAATTACCGTTAAGGTGGGACTGGGAACTGGCTAGACATGAAGTTTTCCTCAAATGTATGTCACAAGTAGCTTAAAAATATTATAAACGTAATACACGCATGCGCTGTGGGTGCGTGTATGCTTGCGTTCGTGTGTGCGTGCGTCTATGAGTGTTTGTTTTCACGATTAACCCAAATGAACACCTTACTAATAATTCACCTATTTATTTTATTCATAACAAATTAAAATATCTCTACGTAATCTAGACCGAGGCAATGCGTCCCGCGTCTGATATCACTCACGTCTGCGTCCGTGGACTTCAGCTTCCGGTGCGTCGAGGCGCGTTTCCTGGGCCTCGATGGCATGTGATCCGAAGCGTTGGCTTCTCCCTTCGAGGGTTTCTTGGTGGGCCGGGACTGCTTGCGCAGGTTGCGGAAGTATTTGCCTGCGAACATGCCTTCTCTAATATGGTGTATATCTTGACGTAAGAAATTAAGCATTCTTACGTATACTTATTATGTAATACATAATACATAGCGTTAGAATTAAAGGTAACTTATCTGAAGTTACAAATTAACTGTGGTTGGGCTTCAGAAGTCGAAGACGGAATAGTCTTCGCTGTTTCACAAACGGGCAGCTCCGTCCGGGGAAGTACCACGACCCCAAGCCCCAAAGGAGATGGGCGTGAAGTGGAAGTGTCATACTTCAGCGTTTCGCTTGTTGAGGAAGACAGACGGGACCTACTTTATTATGCATCTGCAACCCTACGGGTGTTGCAAATGTCAGTGGTTATCACTTAACATCAAGTGAACTGCCACCTTCTCAAATGAAGAAATATGCTTTGCAACATTCATGGTCACAGGAAAGACTAAGGTGTTCGTTAAATGTCAGAGTGCCATTATTGACTCGGGCTACAATCAGTTTCTAAAATGATTAATTTTGTGACCGCTCTTCGCAGAAGTAGATTTTTTTTAAGTTTAATTTCGGGCTCGCAACCATGTTGTATATACGAATAATGTTTGTCATGGACAAAAAATGATGTGTAATGTTCGCATAAATATAAGGAATTACTATGTAAAGCCAAATCTATATATATATATTTAAATTAAGTGTCACGGAATTTGTCTGCTTTGAACTCCTAAAATAGTGAACCAATTTAAGTTTTGCACACTGTGTGCAGTTTGAGAGACAGGTTAGTTCATATTTTAATATAGTTATAGTCTATACATGACCCACTGCTGGGCAAAGGCCTCCTTTATACAGAGGGTATTAGGGCATTGTTCGCCACCCGGATTGGCGGACTTCACATATCTTCAAAATATTTTTTTTTTCTGTTATTAGTTTCCTCACGATGTTTTCCTTCACCGCGGGGCGCGTGATAAGTCAGCACAAGTTAAAAACTTCATTGGTGCCGGCACCGGGGATCGAACTCAGGTTGCTCGAGTATATTGAATTAAAGGCGAGCGCCCGGACACTGAGTTATCACGGCTCTTCTTATTTCTCTCTTCTTTCTTATATTTCAATATATAGTCACAATATTTTTTAATTGTAATCTGTGAGTTCCAAAAGATTTTAATAGATGGCGGTGTAAAGTTAACGGCTAGATTGGGTTAGCATCCAATAGATGGCGCTATGTTAAAAGTCGAAACGTATGGACCCGGTAGATTTGGCACAGACGAAGTTGCGTGGGATAGCTACCAGTAAATATGTCGCACTGCTGGCCAAAAGCATCCTCTGTTCATTGTATTGAAGGTATAAGGCCATATTCATTATCTATGTATGATGAGTTTTACGTTTGTATTATGTCGTTCATATTTCCATCTCACTCACTCTGTTGTTTCCTCCACTGCTTCTTACTGACGAAGGTGTCGTCGGGTCCGATAGTCAGGAAGTTCCTGTCGCCGACCTGCAGCGTACAGGGCTCGAACACGTTGAGCAGTTTCAGATTCTTCAATTCCTCACCTACATGAGAACACAATAAGTTAGTTTTAGTAGACAAAATTAAAAAACGCCTTTATTAATAAAATAGACTGCGACTTTAGCAAAGGCATGTTTAATATTTGCATCTGCAGTGTATTTGGCAGATGCGTCGCCGACTATTAAAGAGTGTTGGCCCTTGGTTACCTACGCTGTGGTCCTCGAGAAGGGGAGAAATATCTGCTATGCAAATGCAGATATTTCTCCCCTCAAAGCAGGCTTGTCCAGGGAAGACCATCTTCCACTACCACACAGACGTGTGGTCAACTTTTTTAAACTGTGGCAACACATTCGTGTTCAAATCTCCATGGGCGGCGGTTATCACTGAACATCAGGTGAACCGCTTGCTCGTTTGGCACTTCACATTAAAAAATGTTCGCACGTAAGAAGTCATACTCCTTTAGCTTAACTAAAAATATTCAGCACTCTTTGTTTGTGAAAAAAAGATATTAAATGCAATTGATAACGGTTTAAGTAATGAACATGCAATTATAGGTACAGTGTCAAAAAGCTGTTGTTGCTTGCTATGGTAACATTACGAAGTTGACAAACAGAGATACATCACCTGTGAAAATTTCAATTGTGTAACTATCAAGGTTCATGAGGTACAGCCTGGTGTCAGACGGACAGATGGACAGCGGAGTCTTAGTAATAGGGTCCCGATTTACCCTTTGAATACGGAACCCTAAAAATGTAAAGCGATACAATACCCTCGACCAGGAACTTGGGCTGCTGGGGTGCGTTGGAGTCCGTGGGGTGGGTGCACAGCGCCCGACATTGCCAGTGCACGCTAACACTCTCCGTGACGACCGCCTCCACTGTGAACTGAACAGTGAATGATTGAATTTAGTGAGGTTCTTATTTTTCTTTATTACATTGCCCTTACTGCAGGATAACTTTATCCTGAGTTGTAAGGACGTTTTACCCAGACCCGAAAGAATTTTCTATGAGTGGCACATTGTTACACCATTGACTTCGGCGCCTTTAGGGCTTGGGTTCGATTCCCACACGGGACAAGTATTTGTGTTAGCCTCAGATAACATCGGCCAACAAAATTGGAACTTTGTCCAGACTTCACTTACACTTTTTACTTTAATGAGTGAATGTTAAATAAGTAATAAAAAAATTGGCCACTAATTTTAAGTATGGTATTAATGTAATTTAAACATTTAATAAAATATAAGTAAGAAAGAAGTAAAGTTCTATTATGAATTATAAATATGCTCTTGGTTGGTCCCATAATTGAGTTCCATTTGTCATTTGAATTTCCTGGTGGAACCTTTCTAACTATCTTAATAGATATCCATGCTCGATATCTCACCGTCTTGCACCCACGACGCGTTGGTACGTATGTATATATTATGTAAATAAAAAAATACGCATTGGCAGCACTGCAGATTAATGGAATGTTGATTTAAATTTGTCTAAATATTTAATCGTATGCGACTTAATAGGGTAAAGCCCATACATATAAGTACCTAAATTTTCAGTTTGTGACTACCGAATATGAATACTAAAAACTAAATGAATAAACTAATTTTATTTATAGTCTAGTGTCTAGAAAGTTGGATTTGCAATCTTGTGGTCATTGGGTTGAATACAATTAGGGTGCATCAACAATCTTTCCACAGTATTCTTGCAAAAATCACTGTTAAACATTAACCTGGTGTATTGTGACTAGACTCGAAATTTATCATGTTCAGGTTTAGCTTAGCTTGGCCTAATATGAATTGCTTTTGCAATGATCCTCAATGACCTTATTAGATTCAATGAAGTTGATATTCTGAGAGCTTGTTTGGTTGATGTAAAATTAAATCATCCAACAAAAAGAAATCTGATATCTTTATCCTTTAAACGAGCAATTCTTGTATATATATATAGGAATCTCGGAAATGGCTCCAGCAATTTTTATGAAATTTAGTATATGCGTAGATTTTGGGGCGAAAAAATCGATCTAGCTAGGTTTCATTTTTAGAAAAAGTCCTTTTATCCCTGTTTTCAGGAAATGAAAAATATCATTCGAATATGACAGTAAATTTCGCCGCAAAAATAAATATTATAATAGCTCGGTCGGTAATCGGGCGGCCCCAAAACAGACGGCCGCGGTTCTTCGTATCACGATCATTTACACACTTATTATTTTTACTTTTTTTTCTATACCAGATCATTTTCTTTATTTTTTATTTTTTTTATTTCCAAAATACATGATTTACCAAAAAAACCTCCAGGTACTATTATATAAAAAGTTTAAACTTTTAAAATGTTTGAAGTATTTGAATTAGTTAAAAATGGTACATTTTAATAATATAACCATAACTGGATTGCAGTCTAAAAATAATCTCAAGTACATAATGAGGAGATAGCATTGTGACAATAATTCAATAACATGTATGTTATATAAAAATGTATTCTGGTGAGTAGGTTTATTTATATTGCATTATATAACACATCACTAAGACAATACAAACTTGATGTCTATTGTTCTTCTATAAGCTATAACTTGCTTTATGTTCCACTTTAAGTAAAATGAAATTATAGTAATTGGGAATAATTAATGGATTTTTTTTTAATATAACATATTAAACATCTTTTTGAACATTTCTCAAAATACAAAAAACATGTTATGTTATGTAAATTTACCCAAGCATTGTATAACAATGATAACTGCAAATTACCATTATACAGTTATCATTTAAAAGTTAAATTATATGAATCTACACTAAATATTTGAAAAGGTGTAGTTAAGAATTAAAAAAAAATATAATAAAATTTCACCCACCTTATGGTCGTGCATCTTGTGTTTTCTGGCAGCCTTCATTTCCTTGGTTACATGGAGCCAATTAGCATTGTCCAAGGAGCCCAGAGGTCCATACACCACTTGACCAGGGTAGAACTCTGATGAGGAGTATGGAGTTGATCGGCGTCGCCTCATGGAATAGTCTTCAAGGGGACAGCTGTCCAGGTCTGGGTATTCAAGGCGGGAACCATCGGCCGAAACGAGCCGGAGTTTGCTGTGGACAGCCTAATAAAAGGAGAAAAGGAAAAAGTCTATACAAAAGATCTGAAACATGTGAGGACTAGAGTTTACTATTTAATTTCTAGTTTACTATTTAGTTTTCTGTATTACATAATTTTGTGTGAATTTCATTAACATATGGCTCAAAATGATCATATACTATATTAATTCACTAACTTTAGATGTTCCAACCCAAGAATCAAGGCACACTGCAAGGTCTGGTGTGAACTCTTCTAGGGGTTGGAGCCTCTCGCTTGCAACACTTGGTATGACATGTTTTGTTCCCACAATTTGTAATGCCGCTGTCATCACGATGTCACGGCAGTATCCACGCTGGGTATCTTTTCCTGCTATGAGGCGCCTTACTACATCGCCAGGCATCAAGGAGCGATCAGCAAGGCCAACCTAAGCAAAAAAAAATACATTTCACAGATATACGGCATTGTTATTTTATTGTACATAATTATGTAATTTAAATTTTGCCAAAGAATTGGTCATAATATACCAACTTAAGAATACAAAATAATTTGATACTTGCTAAAATATTATACCGTAATGTTTAATCAGAAAAAAAACTGTGATGATACATGTGACTGTTGAAATCGCATTGCAAATATTAAAGCTCTGTTATTTGCATAATAAGTTCACAATTTTTTTCATTTATGACCTCAACTAAGTCTCAATTTCCCAATTGTCTTCAAATTGTTTATTTTAAGTGCTGAATTATCACATACTCAGCGGTTAAGGAAAACATCATGAGGAAACCTGCATATTTTTTAAGTATTTATCGAAAAATTACAAAAATATTAAAAATATTTTGGTGTACAAAAGAGGCTTTGCCAATATAGGCTGTTATCTTATTGTACTTGAGAGTACTACTTATTGAACTGTTACCTTATTTACTAAAGATTGGGAATCGTTGTTGACCATAACAGTTCTTTATACTTTTTAGTGCACTAATATGAATAATTGAACTCTTCATGAAATTATCTGTTCATTTTAATGGAGTATTGAAAGAAAATTGTTGACAAGAAAGTGATTGAGAATGTAAATCTCAGTGTACTTTTAGAGATTATATAAATGCATATGCTTAACAAAAAAAATAATTGATGAACAGAAGGCAAAAACCATTGACCCTGACCTTTTTGATAGTTCATAAAAATATTTCAATAGCAGCTGCAAGTCAATAAAACTGCATTCATAAAAAATGCATTATTGTGAAATCAGTTTTTGTGCAATAAGCTTTCAAAATCTGCCTTATAGATACAAATCACCTTATAGATCAAAAAGAAATTTGCTTGGGTCAAACAAAAAAAATTGGTTTGGTTTGGTTAAGTGGACTTTTTTATTGGTTTAAAATATTTTGTAGATGTTACAGTTTGTTGTAGTGACTTGTGATACTAATTTGCAAAGTTTAATATACCTTTTGTAATATAAAAAAAAGAAGCATGTCATAAAATTGGGCCCAATGTGGGTAGGTATTGATACTGACTGAATATAATATTACCCTCATTATAAAGCATCCTTCAAGGATTAATCACGGTGAAATCATAAAATCGTGCAGTTTTTGTCACGCAAATGAAAACAATATAGGACAAGTTTTTTAAAACAACAAGAACAAAACAATATAGGAAAAATTTTAAAAAACTTGTCCTATATTGTTTTCATTTACGTGTTTTTTCAATAAAGCACGCTTCGTTAATTACCTAATGCCAAAAGTAATTTACCGTTCTATTATTACTCACCGACTTCTCGGATATAACTCGCTCGGTTCCCGAAGGATGCCACACAACACGAATTTCACCTTTTTGGATAGGTGTTTCAATGTCGCTCTCCTGGTCGCTGGAGTTAGCTTCGTAATTTTCAAGAACAAGTCCAAATACAACTTGGCCACGATTATTAATTTTATACACTTCATCCTCGTAAAAGTATTGAAAGTCAGTAGGTGAGCCCGGATTTTGCCCCGCCATATTGACGGGAATTATCTAAAGACACAAATAATTTTGTTTTTTACGTGATTATGTTCTTTCTGACAGCTGATTGCAATGTGTGGCGCATGCGTCAATTAATTATGCAACGGAAACGCCATCCTGCGGAATTTCATGCAAAAAATGAGAAAACCGTTCTGTTTCATGTATTTCTCTAAATTGCGATTCTTTTCCAAATATCAACCATTCAATAATCAAGGTTATAAAAATAATATCTGATATGATTGCAATAATTACCAAAGAGCGTAAATAATTACTTCATTTTTTTATTCGCAGCACACGCTAGGGTTCCCGCGGGTTTCTTCGCGAAAAGTTCTTGATGTACAATTTAGAAATAATAATTCATTTTATATATTTAACTAACGACGGGCGCGTCGACTTGCGTAGTTCGATTAAATCGACATAAGTCGTGACTCGTGATAATAATTGTCGACCTGAGTGGGTTCGAGTTCGACCCAATCCGCTAGTCGTAGGTGCCGTCACCTACAGACCCACACCGCTAGGTACGTTCCACCGCAATCACCTAAGACCACGACACGTTCTCGACTTCCCTGACGATGAGACGATAATCACACCAACACACATCGCACTCGCCGGCGAGTGCGGCAAACATGTACTAGGTTCCGCCACGTACCTGGCAAGTTCTCCCCAGTTAATGATAGAAGCGTTGCTGGAGTTTCTTCCGCCAACGCTTTACGAAGCGGTAGTAACGATAGATCTAGAAATTCCCCCAGTCACATATCAGCTATCGATTGAGCCGAGGTCCGGCCCTCTCGGGTACCCTGGAATCGGAATGCTAAACGCGTACTGAGTGACAGGCCAAGCCGAGGTCCCCTATCGGGGACCCTTGAGCACAGTCACTCCATAGAGCGTCCGCCTAAGCGCCTTTAGAGCTCGGCGACCTCCCAAATCGGTGAAACAAATAGCGTGACGGCCCGAGCCGAGGCTCCCTCGGGAGCTCTCGAGCTTAGTCACCATAACGCGTAATAATAATACGCCTAGGTTCAGGCTAGGTGCCTCGAGCGCCAGGCCACATCAAGTCCGTCGGAACTGTAAAGGCCCCTAAGGCCAACAGTGGCTCATGAAGTAAAAAAAAAATCGATTTAGAGTCGCCTCGAGATCGGGCTAGCGCTTCGCCCTCACGTCAGCGTCGGCGTTGCGGCAATTCGGATTCGCTACTACTAACGATTCGAAGTCGACTCCGCGTCGAGTGAGCTAGCCAGATGCTTCATGAACGAGCCAGAATGAGAAAGAAACCTAACGACTCGCGCCATTGGATCTCGCCTCTAAATCGGTGTTGATCGAAAACGAAATGTGAAATCAACGCAACGCAAAACCCTGATTATTTTGTTTACTTTTTTAACATAATAGCGAATAATATCGAAGGTTTTTAATATAACAAGTGATTTAATTAACGGTGGTGGGGCCACGCAGCAGCCTCGGCTATTGCATGAATGGGCAGGCTCGTCCGGGTAAGTACCACATAGAAGACAATATTCAACAGAATATCATTGTCTACTGTGTGTTGGCGTAAAGTGGAAGTATAATCCTTCCGCGTTTCGTCGGTGAGTGGGGTAGCCGGAGCCCAAAAGGTTGTATCCAAAAAGGTTGTCAACGCGTCTGCAAACCCTCGGGTAAAGTAGATGTCCATGGGCGGTGGTATTCACTTAACATCAGGTAAACCATCTGCTCGCTTGGCAACTTTTCACATAAAAGAAAAAAAAGATTATTGAAATATATTAGATAGATTTTTTTTTTTGGAAATAAAGTAATTTGTATTTGTAATCTACATTTATAATATATAATACATATCTACATTTATGTTGACAACAGCATTTTAATTATGTTTTAAGTTTTTAATTTGTTGTTGTTTCTGTTGAATATCATTGATTTCAGTCATATTATTAGAAAAACTTTTTATTACTTGTTCTCTTGATATGAAAATAAGCTTATTATTTTTTAATATAAGTATTGTAGTTACCATTAATAAATAGAATTAGGCAAAAAAACTAATATTTTGTTCAGAAACTATAAAATTATTCGTGGTACTTGTTATATTTATAACGTGATACTATTGCTATATTTTATTTTTCAACATTTTATTCTTACAATTTATAATAGAAATGCGTGTAAATGGACGGAAAGTATGTTAAACAATGTTCATTTGATGGCATGGCAATTGTTATAAAGTGTTTTCATGCAAATAATACTATTATGGGAAATAAAATTCTTCTATAGATGTTTTTTTGGTATGATTATTGTCTTTTTTTTTTTGTTGTCATAGCACACGTCTAGTCCTTTAAAACGATTCCTTAGTGTCGAGTGTTTATCGCTAAGGACTGACGTTACGATGCCTGGTGGCGCTCAGTCGATTCATTACCGCGAGTGCCGGGCCGGCGCTATTCTCGTTCCCGCGATCAATACAGCGTTATCAAATTGTGTAGGTGTTTATATGCGCACTTTTAGTGCACACACGGCTTCGCTTGGATGAGGTAGTCGCATTTGATAACGTCAAGCTGTACGATTCCGGGCAGTAAATTGAATAAGGAGATGTGATCGAAATGCCGCTGCCGGAGCTAATAAAGAGAGCGTCCAGTTACTTCCTAGGATTGGAATTCGAGGACAACGAAGATCCCCCTGATTACGTTGATAACGAAATATTATTTTGCAAGAACAACGTTTGCGTGCATCCGCCGACGATTGCGAGGCATGAGTTAGATATTGTTCACCATCCTGGATATCTTACAGTGACCACTAAAGTATTTACCGATCAGCACAATAACGCCAAACGGCCCACGCTCTTCCTTAACTGGATTCCCAATTCCACGCTGAAAAAATGCCCGTCAGCTGTCGAGAGCAGTCCTAGCGACGAGCTCGGCTTCACGACCAAAAAACCGACGAATCCCAAAGATATACCGTTGAAAAAATCAAACTGCAAACCGACCAAGGTAGACGCAAACAATGAAAATGCCTTCTCGGATTCTTCGGACACGACCAGTCTCAATTCGAATTTCGACAAGCAGAGTATCAAGTCGACCGACACTCGCTTCACTCAAAACGACACCACGCAGGAGGAGTTGTCGACCAGCTCGAAACCGACAGTGAAGTCGGTCGACACCAACAAAGACTGCTTCAACCACATCGAGAAGGATGAATCTAAGGATCACATATTCGACTTCGAACGCCACGTACGATCTCAATCGATGACATCCGTTAACATAACAATCGCCAATCCCAACGTGGAGAATATCGACTTAACACCAGACTCATTGTCGAGTGACAGGTTCATCAGGTCGCTATCATTGAGCTCGTGCGACGAAGGGAACCCTAATTGGATGAGCACGCCAGAGTTTCTTGCTCTGAAGCACAACTTGGTCTTTCCAGACAGCGTCCATAGTTCTCCGGTGCCGCAGCGGCGGGCTCCATTGAAATGTCGAAGGTGAGTTCCATCTACACATTGTATCAGTGCACAGAAAATGAAGTACCTAGTTAAAGGAATATTTTTTTATGAAGGAACAAAAAAAATACTAAAACCGTAAACAGGAAATAAAATATGCGAGGATTACACAAATGAGATCTCGCTCGGAAAGGGAGCAAAGGTCAAATGTCATTAAGTGTCTGCTTTGCGACTATTAATTGATTGTCAACATTATTTGTGTCACGACATGCTTTATTGACTGTGTTTTAATACATTATGTATATATCCGCATTTGTGGATGTTATACAACATATTGTAATTGCTTTTTTTTTTCTATATAACAACGAGGGATGGCGTTTCTTCGCTAAATACAGTGGTTTCATTTAGTGCACAGTTTTAAAACGCTATAAAATAATTTAAATCTAAAAAAAAATTACAAATCGCAAAATCTGTAATTTTATTTCTATCGGAAGTTATTTGAACAAATTAGTATTCAATCTTTTAAATTTCACTATTTGTTTTTTCGAAATATTATTTACTTACTTATTTACCCGACTTCAGAAACGAGGAGGATCTCGATTCGGTATTTCTGTTTTTTACGTCAGAACACATTTAGAACCGATTTGCAAAATTCTTTTTTGTTTTAAATAAGATATTTTCAAAGGGCGTTCAAAATTGGTTTAATATCCCTGGCATTACAGCTTCGATTTGGAAGATGCCTCAGATGATACCTCAAAAATTCATAAAATCAATTAGGAGACGTATATATATAATGTACGTACAGTGTAAGGGAATGTACATGTAGTGACTGAGATTGAAGATTTGAAATTTGTTTTGTTTCTGACTAGTAAAAATGTTTCATTATAAATCGTCAAAACGTCATGTTACAAGTTTAGTAATTTAGCAAATAATCAGATTTTTATATAGAAAAATTCAAAAGAAAAAGTAAGAAACTTAACTCACACAGCTCATGCTCTAATTGATTCGTCAGGGGAAGTTGTTACAAGTCTACCATTAATTGGTCATTTGGATTTTGAGATGGAAAGGCGTTGGAAGAAAAATGTAGTTGTAAGAAGCAGAAACGAGTTCGGGTTGCAATCTGTTGGTTGCAATTACGTAAACTCTGCAATGTGTCGTTCACTTGAAGATGAACGATTCTCTCGATTCGAGTCTCTAAAAAATAGAACACCAATTAATTTATTGATGAATGATTATGAAATGTTATGTACAGAACATATAACGGTTAAATATATACAGAACACTGAAACATAATTATAACTTATAACTGTTGTCTTAATATGAAGTTGACAAAAATTTTATGTTTTGTCAGCCGGCTTATCGTATGAGGTAGCGTGTCAAATTGGAAAAAAATGTTATCCCTCAAATGTTTAATGGTCGCTACCTATGTTTAAACGGAATTATTAAAACAATTAAACTTACAGATGTATAACACGATCATTAAATCTATCCTATAAAAATTCACAAATATTAATATTTACGAAGTTTTTATTCCTTTTGTTATATTCGCTTGCTAACGTATAAATTGACCAAATTTGAATTTGGTCAATTTATACGTTAGCAAACGCAACAAAGCAACTTTGCCCTACGAAGATAGAACCTTAGACAATGACCATACTTTTTATAGTTTATTAGTTTAAGGTTTTGGTCCTTCTTTATAACAAGAAGGGAAAACAAGATCTTTAAATTGATATAGTTTATAATTAATAATAAACTGGTAACAACAAAATATTATCTTTAAATTTAAAGGATTATTTTGCACACATTAAATTCTTTAAATAAATATAATAGTTAATGAGTGAAATATTTTCTTTTATTTTGTTTATGGTTTTACAATGAAAAGAAAAATAAAGATTGTAATAATAAGATAAAATATATAATTACGAGTATGTTTCATTCATGATATGATTCTGAATTACGAAAGTTATCATTGGCTATTTTGTAATTTTAAAAATACTTTACATGTACGGTCGAAAATGGATTAGATACATGTGTATTAATATCAATATCTTTTTCTAGATATATGGCTATATACACGTTAAAAAGTTGACCTGGATGGGCGCTTTCATGAGAGCGAAGCGGAGGCTCCATAACGAGCGTAAAATTGCTAGCATGAATATTTTTGTGCTTTCAAAAAAAAGTTTCTGAAATATACGAATAAGTAATGTCGAAATAATTTTTTATTTGAATGGAACAAATATTTATCGTTTCAAGCGTTTGAAATACAAGTAAACAATTTCTGGATGTTGAATTTAATGTCGATTAAAGTTTATAATAAGATAAGAAAACATTATATTTCCTCTGAGGTATCTTGTGATGCAAATACTTATCATAATTACTATAATATTACTCACACATTTGAACATCGAAAATTGGGAAACTCGTGTATAAAACGAGCGAAATAAAACTTAGGAAATTACTGTGGGACCAAGGGATATGAACAAAAGGACTGACTAAATAGTGTCGGATGATATTAGATCGCTACAAAACAGCAGGATATATAAGTAAATCCTTATATTACACTGATTTCACCACTAAAGAATAACCCCGTTAATCCCTTTGAATAAATAAATATATGGAAAAGTTCTTTTTTATTACCTAACTCTAATTTTAACGCACTCGTAGCTTATCTACAACGTTATCATCAAACGTAAGTTATTTGTAGAGCACTTAGCTTAAAAACTTGTTAGGTGGCTTGAAGTTATTCCGACGACATTGGCACGGCTGACGACCTACATCAATATACAATGAGGTCGTACGCGCCCTCATTATCCAAGATATCCATGAGTTCCAGGATCTTTGGAATTTAATTATTCCCACAAACAACGCGGCGAATTCAAAGCCTCCGATAAATTAATAATACTGGAATGATTCAATGATCGATCTAATAAGTTTTCTTTGTTGTATAGCTGACATATTATCAAGGTTTTGTAATTAGTGGTAATAAATAAATTTGTTTTAAAGGCGTTTTAAGGTTAATTCGCACGGTTATACGGGTGGGATTACTTCAGATTGTCAGTTCGCCTGTTTTCAAGTATCTCGTTAGGCCTCGGCGGCAATTGCGAAGTTTTTATGATTCACTTCCAGAGAATTTTTATTACGTCAGTCGAAAATCGTACGTATACTAAAACTTCTATTTTTTAAACCTGCTTTTATTAAACATGTAATATTGTCTCCTTATAGTATATATTTGTCATTATATTCATACGATAGACATTAGTTAAGTGATTAAAATTGAACTGAGAACAAAGAGAATGATTTTCAGCCGAGATTGACTGAAACTGATACCACAAGACCGAGATTTCGGTTGGACTTTACTGAACAGACGAAACGCGAAAGTATGAACTACCGCTACCAATTCACACCGATCTTTTGTGAGGCCAGAAGAGCCTACCTATTAAACATAACAGCAGAAGCTGCTGTGTGGCCCTACCACCATAAAGATCTATAAAAATCTGATTATGAATGCCATTCATACTACATTGCGACTATCCCCCTCAGGTTTTCAGTGGACCTGAGCCAGATGCGATCCCTGCGTTTGTTCTTCAACGACGACAACTGCACCTGCGGGCAGCTGGTGGTGGCGTCGCGCGAATCTCAGTACAAAATCCTCCATTTCCACCACGGCGGGCTCGACCACCTCGCCCAGGTGTTGCATCGGTGGCACTCCCTCTTGCACAACATCAAATTGACACCAGGTATACTTCCAACGTGTTAGTTCCCAAGGAGGGTAGATGTAGTCTGGGCCCACTTTATTAAAAGGTGGCAAAGTATCTAAAACCCTACGGGTGTTTCAAATGTCCACGGGCGGCGGATAACAGTTAACACCTGGCATCAGGTGAACTGCAAGCCCGCTTGCCACCTTCTCACATAAAAAAATATAGTGAATGCGATGACTTCACGGTCGAAATGTATTCACGCACTAACAATGTTACATTATACGTAGCGGTTTCAGGTTCCGAGGAACCCAACTTGCCGTACCGCCACTTCATGGTGTGCCGTCCGGAAGTGCAGAAATCAGAGCAGCATCCAGAAGAAGGGAAGGTGCCCAAAATTACACCCGAACTCTTCTACGGGAAGATCATGAACGGCAAGGGAGTTATAGAAGACGATCTCTTCCTGAGGAAATGCGTTTTCTTTGGGGGCCTCGACAGGGAGCTGAGGCGGGAAGTGTGGCCCTTGCTTCTCCATTGCTACCCGTACAGCTCGACGTACGACGAGAGAGAAATTATTCTCCAGATAAGAACGCGGGAATATGAGGAAATAACGCGTAGAAGATTGGAGAAAATGACACCGGAACAACACGCGGTGTTTTGGAAAACGGTGCAGTGTGTGATAGAGAAGGACGTTGTCAGAACCGACAGAGGGAACCCGTTCTTCGCCGGTGAAAACAACTATAATATAGAAATCATGAAGAATATTTTGCTGAATTACGCCGTCTACAACCCAGTATTAGGGTAAGTAAGGAAAAGTACATAAGTTTCTCGATGGCAAGCACCAAAAGTAAAAAATGATAAACAACAGTAATGTAAATTAATACCGATTATAAATACCTAGATTTTTCATCTAAAAAGTTATTTCTTTGTATTATTGCCTAAAGGCGTTTTTTTGTCGGCTCCCCATAACTTCCATAATTAAAGAGGGTCGTGGGTTCGATTCCCACACGAGACAAGTATTTGTGTGACCCACAGATAATTGTTTCGGTTCTGATTGTTTGTCCACGTGAAATTTGTATATGTCATTACAACACAAAAAACGTAAAAGGGCAATGTTTTCAAAACGAAGACTACAAAATATCTTCTAGGTCGTAGTGGTCGTTCGGACTTACTACAACCCCTTGTGGATTTGCCTGTATCAAATAGATGGTGTGTTAAACTAATTATTACCACTGTGAAAACGTACCTGGCTTATATAAGTCATATGAAACTGCGATAATTATTCAAATGTACTGCCGCCGCCAGTGGTAATTACTTTCAGTGGAAAACCAAAAAAAGAACCCCTCGTGGATTGGACACAGATCTTGATGAAATTTACTATTAAAACACTGTTGTAAGGATTATGTTAGGCTGTATTGACGAATAACAGAAGTAGTAGGAAAATTATTATTATAATTAATATGTAATAATGCCATCTATCGATAATTTATTGAAATCAAAGATAACGAAGTAGACTCTAACGTTATTCTTCATATGGAGATACCTTTCATTGATATAATGTACTTATTAAAAAATTACTGTTTTGGTGTTTACTGTTTACTTATCACGGCACTGTGCGGAAGTTTCGAACGGGTCTATTTATATATATTAACGCTTCACACCAGCGATAGAGGACACGTTAGTCGAACATTTTCGTTCCGATAGCTACACGCAGGGCATGAGCGATCTGCTGGCACCGGTGCTATGCGAGATCAAGTGCGAAGCGGAGGCGTTCTGGTGCTTCGTGGGGCTGATGCAGCGCGCCATATTCGTCTGCACGCCCACCGATAACGACATGGACAACAACCTCGTAAGTGTGAAAATTCACCAGTCTGTATGCACGAGACGTGGTTGCAATCCCCGTAGCGGCGAAATATACCATTATATTAGATTTATCGTTGTTAATTATATTGTTTGTGATGCGACATGTCTATTGAAATGTCGTTTACAGCACATTCTCAATCATTACAGGCCCAGCATGGCTTAAAATGCGTAAAACAATGTGGATAAAATAAGTTGAGATTTTCGTCGACGTGGCAATCAGACGTGGGTTCGATTCCCGCAGCGGAAAAACCTTTTCGTCCATTTTATCTACCAATTTTAATGTTTCGTCTCAAGTGCAGAGAAAAAAAAATCAATGAGATATGAAGTTTTCTCGTTCTGAAACAAACTTGTTCCGATGCGTATCTTCCTCGTTACGTTTATACTGAATTTATTTATTTTAATCAACTTCTCGAATTCCAGAGTTTCCTACGAGAGCTTATTAGGATAATGCTGCCGCATTTCTACAAACACTTGGAAAAGCACGTCGACGCCATGGAGTTGTTGTTCTGTCATCGTTGGATACTCCTGTAAGTAAACTCTTATGTAGGGCCACGCAACAGTCTTCGCTGTTCGAATGAGCAGGTCCGTCCGGGTCAGTACCACGACCTCATAGAAAACCTCAGCGGGAAGTGAAAGTGAGACAGGCTTACTCTGTGGAAGTATACTTCTGCGTTTTTCATGCTATTGAGTGAGCCGTGGCCCAAAGGGTGTTTCAAATGTTCATGGGCGGCGGTTATCACATCAGGTGAACCGCCAGCTCGTTTGCCACCAAAAGTAAAAAAAGCTGTTTGTTGCAATGTCTTTTATTCCTATTCACTCCTTTTCACAATACACTACTTGTTTATTTATACTTTATTGCAATTATAATTACAAAGATTACAATGTGAAATAGTTGTTATTGGTTGCCACGGTAATGCCGTGAAGTTAGTCGAAGTTGGTCGCTTTGTAACCAACTTCATCATGTCGGTGTCGAATAAATTTTACGCGCCAAAAGAAGTATAACCTCAAAAATTACTTTAAAGAGATGAAATGAATGTCTCTTATTTCGATGAATAAATGATTTGGAATTGGACATATTGGACATATTGGTATTATTGGACATATTCCATTTCGGTAGGTGCTTCAAGCGCGAGTTCACCGAGGCGGTGGCGCTGCGTATGTGGGAGGCGTGCTGGGCGAACTACCAGACGGACTACTTCCACCTGTTCCTCTGCCTCGCGATCGTCGCGGTGTACGCGGATGACGTCATCGCGCAGGACCTCAACACCGACGAGATGCTGTTGCACTTCAGCTCGCTCGGTACGGCCCTTTTCTACGTGACACTTTGAAGCGGGTACGCGGCTCACCTGTTGTTAAATGATCACCACCATATGCCTTTAAAAGCGCTGCAAATCATACGAAACGCCGAAGTATATTAATAATATTTAATTTTTATTTAATTAATTTATGAATAATATTTTATCCTTCAACACGTAATATCCGTGCACCTACCTCACTTTTCTCTACACCACCCTAAGGTTGACTGGTAGAGAATGCCACTTGACTTAAGTCCGCCTTTGTACAGTGTGCGCATGAAGATTAAATAAATAAATATATTACTTGTACCCAACAACTGTCTTCTGTGGCACTTCCCCGTACGAGCCTGCCCATTCGTGCAACTGCAAAGGCAGCCGCGTAGCCCCACCACAGTTTCGGTACTGGCAAAAGGGCAGGTGGTACAAATTATGTTTAGCGATTATCGCCCTCAGCCACAGACAATAACCAAACCTGTGAGGGCGCAGACTCGTTTCCAACCTTTAAAAAGGGACCTCAATCACCAGACGAAATGCAAAAGTGCAAACACTTTCATTTTGATTCTGTCTCCTGTAAAGCCGTGGCATAACTACATTCTTTTTTAACACTGACCTTACTTTAAAGTAACATTATCCTGTGTTGTGAGGACGTTATACAAACATAAATTTCACGTGGGGACAAACACCCAGATGCGAAACAACTATCTGTGGGCCACACAAATAGTTGTCCCTTGTGGGAATCGAACCCACGATCCCCGATGCCGAAGTCAATGCCTTGGCGACTGCGCCACGGAGTTATCATTAATGACAAACTAAGCTCAGTTTTTTGTCTTCCACTACGAGTGGAGATTGAATTTTTATAATGGGAGTAATTATCCCAAAAAATGTAGAACAGGATTTCAAGTTCACTTAATGGAAATCAATCAAAGGCTATACTAAAATGTTTTTATAAAAAGACAGTGATGGTCAAGTGACTACGTCTACGACGTCTTAAGATGTGATAGTTTCGGATTGACCCGTAACACCTTTTCTTGGTTGTGACGCTTCAGCTTCTGTTGTTCCGTTTGTTTCTTCTATCATGAACGGGCAGGCTCGTCCGGGGTAGTACCACGGCCTCTTGGATAACCTTTATATCTGTATTTGGTGTAGGAGTTAATTATCAACGACCACTGCGACCTAGAAAGATGCCCTCTTACTGTAGGATAACATTATCCTATGTTATAGGGACGTTGTACATACATAAATTTCACGCCGATAAACACCCAGGTCCCAAACAATCATCTGTGAGTCACACAAATTATTGTCGCTTGTGGGAATCGTACTGACGACCCCCGGCGCTGAAGCCAGTACCTTGGCAACTGCGCCACGGGGTCCCCGACAACATTAAACAGCGGCTATCATGCGATATCACGTGAACCGCCAGCTCGCCGCCACCTCCGATAATATAGAGAGGCGGCTCCACTCGTCGGTAACATCGCCGCAGCAATGAATGAATGAAATATACTTTTATTGTACACAAACAACGGTTATTGAATAATCGACAAAAAACGACAGCAATGTACATGGACGGGCGGCTGATACTGCGCAAGGCGCGCGGCCTGCTGCACCAGTTCCGCCAGCTGGTCAGGATCCCGTGCACACTCGCCGGCATGTGCCAGCGGTGCGGGCCCGGCATCTGGGACTCGACGCACCGGCCCAGCGTCGAGTGCACCGGCGCCCACGACCTTTGCCAGTACGCGGTGCAATAGGGCTGCGGTACAGCACGAACGATCGGACCGCGAGCGGGGTCAGTCGACCCTGGATTGGACGCAGCTCGACGAGGACGATGCAGCGGCTGAGGTCGACTGACACCAGCCTGGGTGGAGCTACAAAGTTATAACATTCGGACGTTAAGTGCAAGGGAGTGAAGTGCAGTCAGGAGCAGGCCGTGGGGGTCAGCCGACCCTAGCTTATGCGAGCTAAATTAGAACGAAGGCAACGGCCGAGGTCGACTGACACCAGCTTAGGTGGAGTTAGAATATTAAGACGCTAAATGTAAGAGTGAATAAGTATAGTTAGGAGCAGGCTGTGGGGGTCAGCCGACCCTGGCTTGGGCGACTTGGTCAGGGCGAAGGCAGCAGCTGCGGCGAATGAGACCAGCTTGGGTGCAGTTAGAACTTTCAGGTAGAGTGGGTTAAGACTGCAGCAAGAAGTCGGTCGTTAAATACTGAGGTCGACTGACCCTTGCTAGAATTAGCTAATGCAAGCTTACACGTTAACATGTAAGAGTCGGGATCGAACGAGATTTTACTGGGCCTGTTATTGATGTAACGTGGGTAGAGAAAGGGTTTTATACTGACTGCACTGGTAAATTGACTCTATCATGTTCGTAGCTTGGTTTGATTGATTTTAAAGCGGCATCGAGTCGTTGATCCTCCTGGGTCCTCGACTATTGCCCTCGTAAAATCGTTAAGCGTCACGCAATCAGTGAGAGCTGTTTCAATTAAAATACCGTAAGGGTGCAAAACGCCCTTTGAAAAGACTTGTCAATGTTTTTTCATTCCTCATTCCACCTCTTAGTTAATAGGCCAACGGACGCAAGGTTTAATGGATCATCGTTGAATAAAGACAATCGCAGTATTAATTAGGGACTAAGCAGGCTAATGTGGCAGAACCTTCAATAACCTTAACCTTTGCGCCAGAAGTCGTCAGGTTTTGTTATGCATAACAGTACTAAGGATGGGAGGAATAAAAGATTGGAATATTTAAACTGAACGAAATCACCTCCGCGAATTTCATTCTCTTCTCTTACGATTATATGTTGTCATCATTTTTAAGTATACAATACGAACCACATACAAAACTGTTAATAACGAAAATTCTATATACCTATATAACAACTATTTATTTGTACTTAAGTTGCTATTAATGTTGTTTATGTAGCCCATTCATATTTTTCATATGGGGCATTCCACGCGAAGCGGACAGGTAATAAAAGTTGATGTTTCCGATTTTAGTAATATTTGATTATGTTATACCTATATGTGTCCTCAATCCAGATACAAAATACTATTTACTACTAATTTTATTTAAGTTTCTTCTATATCTCTTTTTTTTGGAGATTGATATGTGTTTAAAGTATAAATGACGATAGTCTATAGTATATTTTTGTCATATAACACGTAAGTAAATTTACGTTATTGTTGGAATAATTATTTTACAATAAAAAAAATTACATCTTTGTGGTTCAGAGATTTCGCTTTAAATTTAATGTGTTATTAATATCGTGAGTTTTAATTTCTAGTCACATTAAAATAGTAAGTGATGTACGTATTCCTAAATTTTGTAGTACAAAATATAGACATTTAGTGTGCCTGCCTTTTGGACTATTTTGCGTAAGTAATGCTACCAACTTATTTTATTGTATATTATTAATATATAAATTATTTAGATTGTTATGTACAAACATAATAACAAAAACAAAATCTATGTTTATTTAGAACTAAATAATTAATCTAGGATGCACCAGCAGAAATTCAGTTCCCGAAAAGCATATTATGCATATTTACTATAAGCGAAAAGGTATTCATCAAGTACCTGTTATATTTAATAGGGTGTTCCATGAAATATTTATAAAAGTTTCTGTTCAATATATTTGCATGTTTTCTATGGAGAAATCTTTTAAACAAAATAATAATTTATCGAATGTGGAAAATATAAAAATAAGTAATTTCAAAATGTTAAAGTATTTTATTACATAAGTATAATAGTTTTATTGATTTTGGTACAAAAAGCAGTTTAAGATGAGAAAGCGCATGTTTTTTTTTTTGTTAGAAAGTCGGAAATGTGCAAGAACATATCAAAGAAAATTGGTAGTATCTCAATTCAATCAAACAAAGAGATAACACCTATCACAAATGGTTTTATGTCTCTTATGTTTCTACCATATTTTCTCTGTTATTATAAATTGTAAACTCTTTTTTAAACTTTACTAAACGTTTTTTTTATGCGATTGATCTCTAATAGAAAAAAAAACTTTAAAATTTAAACAATTATTTACACAGTTTACGTTGAAATCTAACAGCATGCTGCGCAGATTATTGACATAAATTCTTAAAGAGTGTCATCATTATATAATTAATAATATATGAAAAGTGTTTGGAAAATAGATAACATTTCGAAATAAAATAAATCGTAACATTGTACCTGTTGTTAAGAGTATAGATCTATTTTAAACTCATATCATGAAATGACTGCCATATCAAGGAATTAAAAATGTGCTTAAGTGCAAATTCGGCAGCTGTCTATGAAGAAAAAGTTAAAAAAATTAGTAAAGAATAATTTACTGATTGGTTGATTTGATTCTAAGATATCATAGACAAAAAATTTATTTCATTATGTAAATGAAAAGATGAAAAAATGTTTCTACTGTAAATGCAATTAGTCATGTCAGTATTACATGACTAACGTGTAAAGAATCATATTTAATTGATGCATTTTTTTAAAAGATTGTTGTATTATATAGATAAATATGTTTTTATCGTAGTTTATAATTTTATAAATAGCATTTATTACATATTTAATGTAGAATGTCAACATTTTAAGTCGTGCCCAAATATCATTTCTACAAAGTATTCTGTAAAAGTAATATGTTAAAATGTTAAAGGACTTTTACAATCTTAACACTATTTTATAGAATGTATGTTCCACGTGTCAGTAACAAAAGACATGGAAAATGGAAAATAGCGCGTATTATTTAACAATTGTGATGGGCTATTTAATATTTTGTGAATGTATGCGTACACTGTGATATACATTGATCTGCTTGTAATAAATTTACTGTGTCAACAATTGGATAAAGTTGTCGGGAGTTTTATCTAATTTATAATAAATGTTTCAGCATTGCACTTGTCTATTTTTTTATGATACATTGGTTTCACCAAGTGACACTAATTGTAATTCATACACCAATTAGAATATTTCCGTCGAAATTAACGGTGACATTTTGAATAGACGTACATATGAGGGGATTCTGAATTAACTTAAGTGAAATATACCTCATGATGAAAATTATATTTTGTATACAAATCAAAAACATCCATGTCAACTTTCACGAAAACTTTTGTCCGCATACGGCAAAACAGACCTTTTGAAAAGTACATGTGTTACGCCTGAAAAATCCATCACCTAACATACAATGGTAGATGTACAATCTACCATAATTTATTACTGTGGTAGGGTCGCGCAACAGTCTACGCTGTAGCTGTACGAATTGGTAGGTCCGCCCGGGGATATACCATGACCTCTGAGTAGACCAGCGTGAAGTAGAATTATACTTCTGCGTTACATCTTGTCAAATATGGATGCATGTTTGCTTTAATTATATGTATATCGACAAAGAACTACGTTCTAATGTTTAATTTTTGACTATAATCTTTTAAAATGCGCTATATTTTATCTATCTTTTTATATTTAAGCCAATGGAATATTAGAATGTGTAACTGAAACTTTCATTTTCCTACAGAAATTCATTATTTTCTATATATTATCAAAATTTAACCATTTTGATGAAAGTGAATGTCATATCAATGGAATTTCATTGATGTCTTTGCTATTAATATAATTAATATTAAAGGCATCTTCATCTATCGTCTTATTTCAAAATGTTTCTAAGTAAAACTTTCACCAATTTCCTATGAAGTAGGTATTTATTTTTATGTGGGAAGGTGGCGAACGAGCTGGCGTTTCACCTGATGTTAAGTGATAACCGCTGCCCATTGAAATTTGCAGCAACCGTAGCGTTGCGGATGCGTGGCCACCTTATTATAAAGTGGGCCTCGGGTACCTCACTCACCAGACGAAACATAGAAGTATAACACTTCCACTTCACGCCGGTATTCTATGAGGTCAAGGTTCTTACCCGGACAGACCGGCTCATTCGTCTACCAGCGAAAACAATTTTATTTTAATTATACATTGCATACTTCACACAAAGAGACTGAAAGTGCATGAGGTACTATTAAAATCAAAGTAAAGTTGTGTTTAGGTAGTTCGTACTCGGTAAGAGAAATCATGTCGCCAAGCCGTAACGCGCACTAAAAAGTTATTGAAAATAAAATGTTTAACTTTTGTTTAATTTTTTTTGCGTTTATAATTATAAGATAAAAATTATCTTGTAAACTAGGTTCTTGCTTTCGTAAGCGATCGTGCAACGTGTACGTATCGTGATTAAAGAGCAATTTCGACCTTATTACCACATCGTTTAGGTTCCAGTATCGATCGGCGTGCAAGCCGAGGTTTAAACATCTGAGGCTCTTGGATTGTTTGTGTCGCAAAATTTCTAGAATATTCTTAAATATTCCGCAGTAATTTTGAAAAATATTAATAATCTTTATATCCTACTCGAGCATGTGGAAAAAATGCCGAAATTTACGAAATAAAAGATTAACGTGGTGAAGGCGTATAATGTGAAAGCGTAATGAAGCTTACTAACATAGGTCGGTACACAGAAAAACATAACATCTACTTACTTTACATAAAATTACAATTATTCTAATGCACGTAAGTTTGCTACTATATTGCGACAGGCGTTAACAATGATTCAATTTAAAAAAATAGGGCAAATCATGAAACAGGTATACCTATGTCAAATTAAACTTTAAAGTCCCTCCTAATACATTTTGCTGGTAGCAAAGAATTTGAAGAGATCAGCGTTGCACTTACGTTCAGGGGGTACAACGGTAGACTACCCACATAATCATAATCAGCTAATGAATGTTTCAAGACCTCTCTAGAGTAAATTGTTGCAGACAACCATAAGATCCGTCGTTAGGACAGAAAAAAGTCCTCAAACAAATCAAGTTGCAGAAGAAATAGTTGATAAAGAATTTATTTATTGCGAATGGAAAACTTTTATTTCATGTCTATTCACTTTCATTATTATAAAAGTAAGGTAAAGTAACAGCCTATACGTGTCCCACTGCTGGGCAAAGGCCTCCTCTATATAGAGGGTATCAGGGCATAGTCCACCACGCGGCCCCACTGCGGATTGGCGGACTTCACATATATTCGAAATATATTTTTTTTTGTTATTATTTCGAAAATATGCAGGTTTCCTCACGATGTTTTCCTTCACCGCGGAGCACATGATAAGTCAGCACTTAAAGTTAAAAAACTTCATTGGTGCCGGCACCGGGGATCGAACTCAGGTTGCTGGAGTATATTGAATTAAGGTGAGCGCCCGGACACTGAGCTATCAAGGCTCATTATTATATATTTCATTATTTTATTTATAGAATAACTTCAATGCAGAAAACGGCCAGGAGCAATTATGGGGCAAATTAATAACTTGCAAAACACCTATTGATTGGGCAAAAAAAGATGCATCAAGACCATTTGATAGAATCGAAGAAAACAATACTGCAAAGATACATTTGTATATTTCTTCCAAACTTCGCCTAATACAGTGTTAGAAAACAGGTTTTTACTAAAACATTTTCCTTCTATATTATTTTTATTCCTGCCATCAATATATAAAAGATTGCCAATATAATCTTATATTTTTCTAAGTACAGCTTCAATTATTTATACTTAACCATCCATATAACAAGAACAAAAGCTGAAAGGACTGCTAAAAAGTGATGAAATCATTGAAATTTTAAAGAAAGCTTCAATGCAGAGGGTTAACCTTTTATAACTAACTCCGCTGGTTCAGCGACCCGAAGTGGGTCTTGGCCTTCATTAAGAGTTGGCGCCATCATATAAATTTATTGTATGATGTATTATTGTGTAATTGTATTTCTGTGTTCTAAAAATTTGATAGAACTAGTTTTCCAATTAAGTGCTGCTCCTCTAACAGTTTATGAGCTTCTCTCAAGTTAGCTGCATTAATAGGGGATATTGTCTTTGTAAGAGTATTTTTCAAAGTTCCTTTATCCAACATTTCTGATACAATATTAAGAATCTCTTGATGTCTACTTTTGTCTTCAGTGTCATATTTAATCCTTGTAAACATCATTTCATACACTAAAGTTATACTTTTTTCCTTTACAGGTTTTAAATCCACTAAACCACTACTATCAACAATAAGGCAAATTCTTCCCTGAGGTTTAATCGCCTTCATTATAGTATCCCAATAAGGAAAAGGATCATAATTGACTAAGATGAAATCAACTCCATTACCAAATCCATTTTCTTCAAGTTGTGGAATCAAATCTTTAGTGTGGTTAAGCACAATACTAGCGCCATTTCTCCGAGAGAATTCCTCTGTTTCTGGTCTAGAAGCTGTGCCAATAACTTTAAGATTCAAATTTACAGCCAACTGAGTAGCCACTGAGCCAACACCTCCAGCACTGTTTATAATAAGTATAGACTTATCAGAATCCTTTTTAGACAGCAACAGACGGTCAAAAATTGATTCATAAGCTGTCACAGCTGTAAGAGGCATAGCAGCAGCTTGCTCAAATGTAAGATTTTTTGGTTTTGGACCAACAACTAATTCATTGAGCGCAACATATTGAGCATTTGCACCATTTTTTCGTATATCCCCTGTAAAAAATACTTCATCACCTATGTTAAATGTTTTTGTATTTTCACCTTTGGCAACAACTTTACCAGATCCATCCCAACCTAGAATCCTAGGTGAAGTTTCAATAATAGGCTTCGGTGCTCTTACTTTTGTATCTATAGGATTAACCGAAATTGCCTTAACTTCAATTAACACCTCTGAACTTTGTAAATTCGGTAAAGGTACTTCCAAATCTAGCAGACTATTCAGATCACATATAGGTAAATATTTGAATAGACCAACTGCTTTCATAGTTTTCGGCAAAATTCTTTCCATTTCGATATTTTCGACTTTAGCAGTTACGTAATATATGAGATGTATGCACGAAATTGTTACAAGAAAATTAACATTTTTTATCGGATTAAATCCCATTGTAAACATTGACGCCCGGTGTCTGAAACACTGATCATCGTAGATGTCAACTAATCAGCTGTCAAATGGCTTTGGAATTTTCATTTTAGTAGCCAAAAGGATGGTTAAACTCTGTAAATTGACCAGAATGGTCTTCTTAATAATCAGTATGATCAATTCAAAGAGTTTAACCATCCTTTTAATTCCTTTTGGCAACTCAAAGGACATTTGAAAAGCCATAAGCCATTTGACTTTGACAGCTAATTAGGTAACATCTACGATGATCAGTGTTTCAGAAACCGGGCGTGAGTGAATGACAAATCAAAAAAACAATTGAACATCGTTCAAATTTCTCTAGAAAAAGGACCAGACTTTTATTTTCAGGGTACAAAACTAAATTATAGTGAGATTGGAATGTTTTTACCACCATCCCGTTAGGAAATAATACCTAAATATTATCCCTTAAAAGGAAAAATTGCGACCCCCCCCCCCCTTCCGCGTTTCCTTTTTTCGTTCCCTTTTCGAGTTTTTTAATTTTTAATTCTGACGAAATTTTTCTCATTTTATGGATTAAAATTTAGGAAAGGGGTTTCCCTCAACAGAATGGGGGAGCGCCTTCATCAGTTTTGAGTCTGCAACATCACCAGCGCTGCGGGAAGAACAGCCTCTAAATCCTTGCGTAACAAATCACAAGTATTCATCCTCGCCTCCGTAGATTTGGCTTGTTGGGCGCGTAAAGACAGCGGGCGGAGACTGCTTCCATACGCGCCTCCAACCCAATAACTCTATGAGTGAGACAGTCTCGTACCAGTTGCAGTCGGGGTCAATCAATTCGGTTCTTTGACATAAATAGAACCTAACCTATTTTTTTTGAAGACTATTGTAGTCTTGGAAAGGCAAGGAATTTCAGTAAAAAGTAAATAAATGAAAAAAAAAGTTTTTCAGCGTTACGGTACGTAGAGATGGGTCGTATCGCTTTTTCTGAGAACCGTATCTGAATCAGATTTCGATTTCAAATATCAGATTTCGAAACTATGTATTATATATTTTAATATGTAGATATTTTACGTTCGCGTATGCACCTTAAATTCTTTACAAAAAATGAGTGACAATATTTTTGTGTAAGAAATATTACAATCAAAATATAGGGCGGAAGAATTTAAAATATACACACAAGACACATAAGCCTTGGCCTGACGTTCACCAATGCAGCACGGAATTATTAAATTATATTTTTCTTTTTCGATTTGTGTATTTTTATTTTTTTCAAAAATGTGAATAAAATTTAACTCCTAAAAATTTTTCTTCCTTAATTTAGGAAGAAAATTCCTAAGTTGGCATCCCTTACTACGTACGAGCTTAAGTAACAATGCACTCCAGGTCAAGGCTAAACAAAATTTAAAGACATCGTTAATACCATGATTCGTATTTAAATGAAACAGAGTTTTTTTCCATGCTTTTAAAATTCAAAATTGCTTAACTTATTCATAAAATCTGTTTGAAAATCTGATATTGTGCACTGTTTGCCGTACCCCTCTAACTAGTGTAATATTTGTATCTCACGCGCTCAAGGCTAATGCTAAATACAAGAATTAAAAGATATCGTAATCGTTGATACCATGCTTAGTATTTAAATCAAACGGATCTTATTTACAAGCTCTTAAGATTCAAAATTACTTAACTTATTCATAAAATCTGTTTAAAAATCTGATATTGTTGCCGTACTGCTCTAACTAGTGAATATTTGTATCTCACGCGCTTTGTCTAAAAATCTGATATTGTGGCAAACGCGTATGATATCGCGATTCGTGTTGGTATAGCGAGTGAGCGAGTATTCGGTACATCAGATTTCGGAAATATATATAGATATTGTAAAATACATAGATTTTGAACGAGCCAGTAAGCGATTTTCAGATATTGTATCAATATATAGTTTTGATATCTGATACGATTTGTATCGCCCACTTCTAGGTACGACATTCAATAAAACGTTATGACCATGCCCAAGTGTAGTCTAATAGATGCAGTTGGCAAAGTACAAATCGGAATAATATTATATCACGGCATGGAATCTTAGAACAAAAAAATTAGACCGTATTATCGACCATAAGCAAACGGTAGTAGTCTAGAATGTGACATTTCTTTTTTTTTTTTTACTTATTGTACTAAGGCTACTCGAAGAATTCTGCCAACAATATTAAGACGAAGAAACTATGGGGGCGAAGCAAAAACGTTTCTCGCGGATGAAATCATAGAAGATCTAGTGAAGTATAAAATAAATAGTGTGCGAATATGGAAATTTTAATTTATTTTTATTACACTTGGATCGAATTCTTGGCCTTTAAAAGGTGACCCCTCTGCATTCCAAGCTTTCTTTAAAATTTTAAGGTTTCGGATTTCATCACTTGTTGGCAGTCCTTTCAGCTTTTGTTCTTGATTCCATTGCAACTCGCGAACCTTAATAAATGAAAAGATATATGAATAATGACTAGTTACAAATAATTGAACCTGCACATTTTCTGCAGAGTACAGTATTGTATTGACAATGTTTTAATTATGCAGGCAGAAGTAAAGTAATATGATCACCTAAAATAATAGGCATGATAGCTCTAAATCACGGACGAGCAACACGCGGCCCACCAAGCATTTCTAAAATTGAATTTATTTTATCGAATTTCTCCCATAATATTTTTTGTTCATTTTTCTGTTCTTTTCTTGTTTGTTTTTACCTTGCATTAAAATTGGTATACGAAATCTTTACTTTTTTTTTATTTAATATTTTTTTATTCTAATATTTATTATAAATACATTTTCGTAAATTATTATGTGCGGCCGGCCAAAAAAATTTGAAATTTAAATTGGCCCATTAATTAAAAAGGTTGCTCACCACTGCTCTAAATGAATATACTCTGAGTTCGATACCCAGCACTGACACTAATGAAATTGTTAATTTATGATATGATATATGAAACCAGCATTTTTCGAATTAACAACAATAAAATATTTCGAAGACATGTGTAGTCCGCAAATTCGCAGTGGAGCTGCTTAGTGGACTATGTCCTAATACCCTCTGTACAGAGGAGGTCTTTGCCCACCAGTGGGGCATTTAAGCTGTTACTTTACTTTAACAATAATAAAAGCAATGTATAGGGAAAAAGATTTTGTAAAAGATATTATTAAAATTGTAGGATATGACGAAATGTACAAATGTACCTTTGCAATATGATCTTCTGGAAGTTCGTCAAGTGGTCTTGATGCGTCTATCTTTGCCAAATCAATAGGTTCTTCGCTAGTCAATAATTTATCCCACCATCGCTCCTGAACTTTTTCTAAATATAAATTATTATATTTTTATATATATATGTATATATAAGGTCAATAATTGTAAATAGATAATAAATGAACAATAATTACCAAGGTGAATCAAAAGTTTTCCTTCGCTTACACTCCAGACACTGTCAAAAGCTTTAATTTTGTATGGTAAGGAGTCTTTTATAATCACTTCGCCATTATTGCATTGAACACAGATGTCGCGATTGTTTATGGACACTTTTAAGTTTTTTGATTTTATATCAGAAGGAAGTTTTATTGTTACATCTGCAAAAAAAATTATATTTATCAAATATTGTCAAAAAAGTAAATCATAATAATAATAAAGTTATAAATCATCATTAAAACATGTAATCACTATAAGATGACAAAGAAACAAAAAAAAGAAAAAAATTTTCAAAATTACTTTGCTTTAGAATGAATTGATTGAATGAAAATTTCATCAGGTATTTTTGAATTACACTAATAAACTGGTACCTGGGATTTTGATTTGTAATCTTAAGGTTTTGAGTTAAAATCTCAATTCCATGCACCAATGAGCATGTGGGTTTTCTAGTTCTAATCACTTACATGTGAAAATTACTATTTGATATTTGCTTTCTTTATATACACTTTTGCTAATCCCAAAGGACCAACATTCACAACAAGAATCTCTAAATATTTCTTAAGGCGAGGGATGGTGTGCTTCTTATTCATATTTTTATATAAATTGTAGTTACAATTATACCTAAATCTGTAATAGTCTGGGCCCAGGAGTACTTTTCTCTTACAGCTCCATTGTAAGATTCACTGTTCTTTTGTACAGGTATAACCGGTGGCTCATAATCCTCGGGAAAATTGGTGGCATCCTTTTTTTGTTCATTTTCCTTAGACCCACAAGCTGATGTGTTTTCAAATGTATCCTGTTCTGAGACACCTACATCCCCATCTGCCACTACTTCTACTTCCTGTGCTACAGTGCTACACATAATTTCATTGTTTATATCAGTCATTGCAAGATTAGAGCCACTCTGATATTTATTACTTTTTGGGTCACAAGCCTTCATAACTTTGAGAACAAGTTCTTCTGCAACGCCAGCTGGAAAGCCCATGTTTTCATACTTATTTTCAGGTACATAATAGAAGTCGGTCCTTAAAAGTAAACGAGCAATTATTTATGACAATTATTTAAAACAGGAGAAAAATATTAAATAGTCCAGTTAAAATTAAAAAGTATTGTATTCAAAAATAAAGATCTTTTTCGAATCTTACCTACGGGCAAGAAAATTGAAGATAGATGATAGAAATCCTAAGATAGATTTTTCATTCACCAAAATTGAAGATAAAACGTCATCATATTTCTCGATATTTTCGATGCCCGACATAATGTTGACAAACTTATTAGAATATTAGGAAATCATAAATTACGTATACAAAGGGCTACAACTCAATTTCACTATATCGCAAAAACATTGATTTCTAATTCTATTGATATTGATTCTGTTAAAAATAGGGATGCCGAAAAAACATCGATATTTTTTTGAAATATATCGATCTTTATTTTGATCCGATATATCGATATAAAAAATTGAATATTGAAATCGTATCAAAAACGATATTTTTATTCAAACTGATTAAAAGTTTTTATTGATTTTACGTGAATATTATACATAAAACTGTGGTCTATGACCAGTATTTTCGAGAACGCAGAGTTGCATTTTGTAGTATAATAATGGTATTTATACTGCAATTTCATGCTCCGTTCTTTATATTATCCATATCTAAGGTACAACATGTTATAGAGATGTTACAAATCATTAATATAGAACAACATCTTATTATAATTGATAAATATTTATATTATATATTTATAATAATATTAATGGCGTCAACTAAAGTTACTTAAATTTAATATATAAATAAAGTAAACAAAATTTTAATTATAATCAAATTCTCAATAATTAAATGTTCCATAATATAATATCAAGTTTTCATTAAAAAAAATATTGGACGTCATAAAATTTATTATCATTTAACCACGTAAGTAACTTCTTTAAATTGTCGTTCAGCATTTTCATGTCAATCAAACAACTATTACTTAATTCTGCTGATCTAGGCCCATCTTTTAGGACAAGTCTCTACGGGTTTCTTTTTGACCTATTATTCCCTTTGTTTTAAGGAATTCTTTTTTTTTTACGAAGTTACATGTTTTTTTTTTTACTAATTATTTTTTGATCCGATTCTGGGCTATAGAAACTGATTTATGTTACTAATAAGCTGTATGTTTTTTTCCATGACGGTCTTATAAATAATATGTCTAGAAATTTAGATCAATAAAACAAATTTGGTTAAAATTAATGAATAAGTAGCGTTTTATTAAAGTTTCTCATTCATTAAAATAATGTGAATTTGGTATAAAACTTAGTATTACTTTTTATTGAATCAGACTGAAGATTTGACCGATGTATCGTTATATCGATATTTTTATTTCGATATATCGAGGCCGATATTGATAATTTTATAAATATCGATATATCGATATTTTTTCAACTTTCGGCATTCTTAGTTAAAAAAATAAACATTTTTAAATCAATATTGCCATTACAAGAACTATAGTTTGAGAACAAAAAGTTATTATTATTTTATTATTATTTATTCTAAGTATATTACAAATGGAGAAAATAACAACTCCTTTACGAAAAAAAATATTTTCATAACTAAATCGGTAATATAAAAATATTATATAGTACATAGTAGTATTTTCAATCTGGTATCACAGAACCGGTTTTTTTAATTTACATTCTCTCCACTTGGAGGAGTTGTTCGTTTTCGAAAGTTTCACATCCGCAAGAGAGCGGCAAGGCAAGACACAGTAGAAGTAGTGCGAAGTAGGCAAAGTCTCGCGCGCGAACACGGTACGCTGCAGGCGATGACCGCATTCATATGAGTTTTTTTATTATATTGTGAGAGTGCTGTCGTGTTCTCCGTTCCGTTAAGTGTTTACAAAAATGCTGCATAGGTGAACATTTAAATAACGTAGTGTTGTGATTGTGCCAATATATTCTTTTTCTTCTCTTTTATACAGTCTCTTGAAGGTTTTAAAAATGCCTTGCTCAGCGGTAACTTTATCTATAGCGACCATTACAGCTATCGTGGCTGCTGCTTTGATGGCTATAGCATTTTCAACAGACAACTGGCTATATATTGAAGTAAAAAGGAGTAACATTCAGGTAAATACAATCAAAAATATATAATATTTTAAATAATTTTATGTAAAACAATGTGCATGTAGGTACTGTTTAAATTTATTTGGTAAACATTGCATTGTATAGAAATTGGAAAGCAGATGTATCTACCCACCAATACTTATAATTTAAGGGGAGGTGGATTTAAATACCTAGAATTACGCTTAATTTTACAACATAATATGCCGAGTTCAATACATTTGGTAAGTAAAGTAATATTAGTAAATGATAATATGTTCAATGCGTAGGTACCATATGTTATAAGCCTTGGCTTAGTTTTACAACGGTGGTTCTAAGCAAGTGGGAAACCGGACTTGGTAAAGTACGATGTAGTAATATGAGAACACAATACAAAGAGATTCCAAAGAGCGTAAGGAAATGTCTCGCCTTGTAAAGTTACTCTAACAGGAGAAGAACATCTTCGAAATCTCATGGAAATTCACTTAACGACACTAAAACTAGTCGAAAGACCGAAACTGGCTTTCTCAATATCTTGTTTGTTGTCTCGTGTATCTGTTGCGATATATCCTGTGATTCATTACAATGTCGATAAGATCGCTACATATATCGTGTTTGGTTTATACGATTGTTGTAACACTTAGTATCGAGTCCTTGCCACGGGACCGTTATAGCATACACGGCACGCATAAATATGCACGTATTAATGGCACGAACGTGTGGCTAACTGTTCAACACCGCGAACGGCTCCTGCGCATCCATTCGTGGAGATAAAGAGAAGACCGACCTAATTACTTTACATAATTATCACTACATAGTATAAAACAAAGTTGTCACACTGTTTCTCTGTCCCTATCTATGCTTAAATCTTTAAAACTACGCAACGAATCTTGATGCTGCTTTTTTACTAGATAGAGTGATTCAAGAGGAAGGTTTATATGTATAAAACATGCATAATATAGTAGAGTATATTTAGTATTAGTATTGCACCCGTGCGAAGTCGGGGTGGGTCGCTAGTTAGTCATAAACAAAGAGTGGAGGTCTCAAACGACCGAAAGAAAAAAAACTACCCTAAAAGTGGAACAGATTCAAAATCGCAACAACAACATTTCACGGTTAATTTCATTGTAATCCATTTCAAAGTTTTGCTTGACTGATTGTGGCTGCTTTCTACTAGGGTCATTTTTTTTTTGCGATGCGAGAATGTTGTCCTTACTTAGCCATTGGTACGGTGATGTTGATTATTATTTATATTTGGCTTTATATAAGAAAACATCGTTGAGTACAGAAATACTACAAAAAAAATCCGCCCTTTTTATAATTCGTGAAGGTACCCCTTCAATATTTGGATACCTGCTACGATTTGACGCGGTATTGAATATTATTTTAAACGTTGTTTGGTTAAGTATTTATGAAGAGAGATTTTTGGTTTTTGTATATCCTCCTCATGTAATTTTTTTGCTATTTATCAATTTACAAGTCATTTCCTAATGGGATTATGTCGTAATTACTTGAAGTCGTTAAATATATTGCAGAAATTACGATTTTTATATTGCGTAAGATTGCAATCATTAGCAAGATTTAACTATAATACTTCATAATTTACTGATTGGTAATTAAAGTTAATCGTGAGTTTTGTGAAAATTATTTTGTATTAATAAAGGATCCATATTACTTATAAACATATTTATTATAAACATTTAAAAGTAAATTGAAGGATTTTGTAATGCTATTATTATGTCAGGAAAAGTTTCGTCCGTCATTAAAACACGCACAAACAGGTAATTCATTGCGACGATACCGAGCGTTGTATTTATTACAACAAAACACAATGCTAATGAATTGAATACTGTTTATACTCGGAAATAAGACAATATGATTTCCTTCCTTATTTACATTGGACGTAGTAAGTTGTATAAGAAGCTTATTTTATTTACTAAAACTTCTAATAATGGTTCTTCCTCATTATTTATTATAACTCATCAAAACTTTAGCAATGTTTAAGGTTAACATTATGTTAAACTTAATACCAAAAATAAAAAAAAAATATTTAAAATTTTATGGAACTTGAAATATAAATCTAGAGCTTTTCTTTTTATTAAGTTTAAAGCTTCAAATTGGTGTATATTCGCCAATAAAGATAATATTTTCCTTCCAAAAACCTCATGTTCTTTTATCAGCGTCTGTAAAAATAAAACTATTATTGTAAAGCAAGTCCTACTGCTGGGCAAAGGCAGACATTCACACAGAGCTTCTGCACAGCGTGTATTTGGCCATAGTCTACCACGCGATCCCACTGCGGAATGGCAGACTCCACCGTTCCTCAGGATGTATTCCTTCGCCGTTGGGCAGGTGAAACAATCTCATTGAATGCTGCCGGCTTCGGAATTTGAACTGAGGTTGTTCGAGTATCACAAATTAAAAGGTGGCGTTCGGAAACTGCTATCACGGCTATCAGACTATTTATGGATACCAAAACATCATGACTTACAAGTTATTGGTTGTATGTAGGTAAATGAAATTAAAAATGTTTGCAGCCTTTTGATTTCTTTACACGAGGCTTATAAGACATATCTCATTTTAAATCCTTCGAAATTTGAAAATTCTTTTTGTTCGATACATCAAATAATGATATATAATGATGTTATTCAAATGAAATGCAGCATTAACTAATTCCAAAATATATCCCATTAATTAATAATTATAATTAATAAAACAATTTAAAGAATATCTTAGGCAGAAATGGTCATCATTGTTTCCCATAGAATGACACCTGGATTATTCAACTGCGATTAGGTGAGGCGTCTAAACAGAAAGCGCGGGTGAAATCGAATTGTGAAAGTGGGCGGAATTTTTGAGAGAATCCCCCTGCATGCGGCGGAAGTGTGAACACGCTGTGCACACAATTTGATGAGTAAACTCGTCGCTTGTCGTTCGTTAATCGGTTTCTCAAAGCGTTAAGCCCCTAATTCTTTACACGGCGCTTGGAGTTAAAAACTTATCGCGACAAGTTAGGAGGCGCGAATTCGGTAAGACAGTATGCTATAATTATTTTAACAAAAATACGACTTTAAAGCGGAAACTAAAAAAAAAAACATTGTTAATACCTATAACATTTGAGGATTGCCATCGATTTATCTGGGATGCCATCATTAGATCCGGGTTTCCTTATCATGGTACCGCCCTTGGGATATCTCCTTTCCAAAAAAAATAATCGGTTCATATATGACGAAGTTATCCGCGAACACACATTAAAAACAATATGTATGGTTGAATTGAGAAAGCTCCTTCTTTTTTGAAGTCTGTTAGAAACCTCCTCCTTTTTTGAAGTCTGTTAAAAATATAAAAAAACATTCAAATCTTGTTTTCGATTTATCGCTATATGTGAAGAACACTGAAAATAAGGTTACTTAATTTTTGTTATTTATTAGTTAGTTACTAATTACAGATTTCTTTGTTGTATAAATCTCCAAGTATAACGTAAATAGTTATGCAATAATTGACAAAATTTGTTATTATTGTAATTGACTTAGATTGTGATGTATAGATTCGTGATGATTTAGCATAGGTAAACTCTTTCAATAGAAGAAACAAAAGTACTTTTTAAATTTCGGTAATTAATAATCAACAAGTCTCTGTCTATCTTAGAATACTTTATTTTTTTACAGAGAATATTAAAATACATATTACATAAATATTTTTCCAAAAGCTTAAGACAAGTTATTCTGCCGAAAGTTTTAAATTAAAATTTATTTCGTTTGCTGGTTGTTCAGGAGACGCTTAAGAAATTTAAAAAGTTAAAACTGTTATCCCATCTACCTGCCCAGGGCCCGGATGTCACGGTTATTCTTTGAATAAACTTAGTCAATTCGACTTGAGGCATGTTAAAAAGAAATTCAGACGTCATACGATTGTATGTTCTTGAAGGATCCTTCCAGTCAAACAGACCCTTTACGGGTGGCCCTGTATCCTAGGAGTTTTCGTTTATTACCTCAATCAAACATTGCGTGGATCTGTAATACTATATTTTGTTTTTTATTGTAATAATATGGTACTCGCCGGAAGAGTCGGCTTTGAAATTAGACAGCGGAAATTGTCGCGTGGCTATACCATATTTAACACATTCATTATACTAGATCCATATAATGAATGTGTTTAGTAATTTTCATATTAGATTCAAGCTAATGAAAAGGTTAATCCAGAAATAAAATGTCTTAATCAACAGATACCATTAGTTTCAGCTTCAAATTTAAGTAAAAAAGCACCGTCATAAGACTGACTAATAAGGTTCTTCAAATCTGATTATGTACAAGACTTACATATTTCTGTCTTAACGACAGTTGTTACATGTCATACTTTTCTATTCCTAACCATTAAAATACCGTTTTAATATATTTATATACATATATATCATTTGACGCATGTCATATCCATATATCATCAGTAGTGTATAGCTGTATTTTTTATATATAATCCATATATGTTAAGCGGTAAGCTCACTTTTATGTGACCCTAACACAACTCTAGATTGTTATCAGAGACAGCCTCTTTCGACGCGCGACACCCACTTCTCACGACTTACCGACATTATTTCATCTGTCGCTTGATTTGACTGTCGACGTGTCAGCGCATTTGTTTGTTGCATGTTTTCTCTATGATTCTGCATGTCTTCCGTAAATTATTAGGTTTTGATAGAATTCTAAAGTAAAGTTAGAAATAACCTGCCAGTAAGTTCTATCATTTTGGATGTCAATTTCATCATCTTCGTGGAATTACAGTGGCAACAAATAACAACATTTTGACATTTACCTATAATTCCAAGTTATGTAATTAAACCGTTATCCGTTGCATTTAACGTATTTTATGCAAATAAAAGAGTTCTTTTGTTACGCTACAGAAGTATATTCTCTCTCTCTCTCATATGCAAACATTCTTTTTTATTTATATTTCGAAAACAAGCAGGTTTCATCTCGATACTTTTCTTTACCACGTTTGAGCACGTGAAAAGTCAGCGATTAAAATTTCAATTAACAATTTAATTGGTCACTGCACCGGGATTCGAACTCGGGTTATAAATAAATAAATAATAAATATTTAAGGACACATTCTTACGCATTTTCTAGTCCCAAATTAGGCAACGCTTGTATTATGGGTACTGGAAAACTGATAATCATACTTAAACGTACTTTTCTTTTGTAAATAAATACATATTATACATATATAAACACCCAGACACTAGAAAAACACTATGTTCATCACACAATATTTTTCCAGTAGTGGGGGGATCGAACCCACACCCTCTGGCGCAGGAAGCAGGTACACTACTCACTACGCCCTTCGGGTCGTTGTTCGAGTATATTGAATAAAATCGGGCACCCGGACACTGAGCTATCACGACTCACAAATATTTGTAAAGACTAATTATATGATCGAAATCAATCAAATCATTTTTAACAAAATTGTGGTTGGTTTTTCATAAAAATTCCGCATTGGCACTGTACAATTATATCGTCCATAAATTCACCAATTTACCGTTTGTATAAGTAACCAAGCTTAAGTTTTCGCGATTTAATTGTGCATATTCTTTTCCTGATATAGCTGCTTCGGTACCTTATCTCTGTTGTACACATCAGTTTGAACCTCTCTTGAAAGTGACAAACCGTAAAAAGCTATGGTCATAAGATAAGATACACCGTTGGTTTATGTTAGTTTATGGCGAGTGTGCATTAAGATTAGTGGCTCATAAAGACTCAAGGTTCACAGCCATTCTGGCGAATATGCTTACATACTACGTGTTTTTAACTTAAATGTCAAATAAAAAAAACAAGCTATAAAAAGTTTATTAGAGGTAGTTAGTAAAGACAATATCACTAACTGAGTAGAATATCACTAACTGTAACCTAACGTAACTAGTAATGTAAAAAGTAATGTAGTCTCCAAAAAACGAAAATTTTCTCTTCATCATTGTCAAATCTGTGAAAAATATCATTGGCTGTTCCGAAAGATTTTGAATCTCATATGCCCGATGTTACGAATAGCTTATTGCATAGATTTAGATCAAACGTCGCGTATCAGCGTATCAGCACGGTAGTCGGATTCTAAATGACCTTTAGACGAAAGAGTACAAATATATTCGATTTCCGTTTTTCAGAATTCACAGACTCTATTTCATATATTTAACGGCTCAGTGTAATAACGTAAGCACGCGCGATGCGACGCTATTAATGACGCAAATAATGGGTGACCGTAATAGTCCGTAATTAACATTACCTTGATGAGATTCGAGGAAGCTTGCGCTGAAACTCGCTCCGAATTGCGTGCTAGATAAGAACGGCAAGAGGTGATTGTGTTAACGTTCAATTTACCAATAACACATTACGAATGGCTTTATTAAATTAATTTACTACTTAAAAATCATTTTAAACGTTACATCAAACTTTTCGACGAATGCATAATTAAATGCGATAGTCTAGTCAATGTTTGCAAAAACGCCTGAATATTAATACTTGTAACCAAAACTTGTTTATTTGAGCTTTGAATATAAAATTGTTTTAAAAAGTAGGCTGAGTTTACGAACAAGTATTATGTTTATTGAATTAAATTAATTGGTAAAAATAGCTAAGGAATATATTATCGTAAGTTTAACTAGGTCGGTTTAATTAAATTCGAATAGGATTGTTTGTGATTGTGATTTGTGTGGATGGGGTTGAGCAGTAAATCCCAATGATCGCTGCGACCAAGCAGATCTATTGTAGTATTCCCTTGAATGCTAGAACCTCCAAACCCAGAATATTAACGAAGTTGGCGGTCGTTGAGGGGCGAAGAGTGGGCTCTCTCGGTTGCCAGCGTAGGCCCTCCCAGTTCTCAATATTGACCAGGGCATCGCGTTCACAAATTATTTGAAGTGAAGTCTCCACGTCATCAGTGCAGAATCTTCGGAATGCGCTCTTCGAGAGTCCCATCCTGTTCAAATGCTTCGTTGACCCCGTGCCTCGTGAGGGCCCTAAAGTGTATACTTACACTTGACCGACTTGAGTTTAAGTACCTCTGCTGCAAATTTAGATGAGCCCTGGATCAGCTGTTTTGAATGAGTCAAGCCGTATGGAAGCTAGATAGTTAGATTTTTTGCAAGTCCCGTCTAACAAACACCTTTTTCAATTGTACTGAATCGCTTTGCGAGGAACATGTTCCCGTATTCGGTGTACACGTGTACATTCGCGCACGTATTGCGCAACGTTCTCGATTAATGAAACGTAACGGCGCGTTACGTAAACTAACGGTTTTGGTTCGGCCGGTCGTCTGTTGCAAAACAAACTCAGTTGTGGAATTTGTAAGCTTCGAAAGTGTGGCTAATGAACATCGTCCGTTGCGATTATAATTACCGTCCGCGACTGCCTCTCCGTCCGAATGCTCATCTACTCTACTTTCACCGCGCTTCCCTGATGACCTTAGATTTGTTGCGAGCGTAATTTGTATCGGGGTGAATTACGTTGGCCGCATTCGTCGACCGGCGAACAGTCTATTTTTTATTTGTATAGAACTTCTCTGATCATTTGAAATGAGAACATAGATATTGAGCCTTAGTAGTATGTTTGAACTGCTGTTTGTAACTTTTATACGCAAGTCTGTCAAATTGTGTTTATTTACAAAAAATGACATTCAATTGAAGTGAATTGGGATACGAAAGCAACAAACACCTTTAAAAGTTGCATATATTTTAATAATTATAAAAAAGTGGTGATTGAGACCATAGTGAGTAGGTACTAGAAAAATTAGAATTAGAAATTTTTGAATAATATGTATTCTATTCGCAACGCTATATGTGCCAAGCTAAGCTAACTTCGTCCTATGTGCACTAGGTTTCCAATAAATATTATTTCCTTTGCTACATCTGACCACATCTTCTCGAACGTCGGAATGGCATTTTAAGTAAACGGCTGTGGAGCCGCCACGGTATAAGATAATTGCCCACTAGCCGACCGAGTGTTTCTAAATCGCTTATCTCCGCAACAACTCTCCCATGATTGTATGCGATTCTCTGGCTTATAATATTTCCTTTCGAAATAATTTATATTGCGTATTATGTTTTTAATGAACTCTTTCGTACAAAAATTGACTAATGTTTTTTTCTAAAAAGGTAAAAGATATTAACGTACATTTCTGCTAAAATTGCTTAATAGATTTCACTCATGTACTTGACTTTATGTCAACTGGTTCGGTTCGTAAATATTTTTATTTATTAAAACAGATTAATACATTCTTCATTAAAACTATAACCCCGACATCGAGCGATAATAGCGTAATATAAATCATATGACAGAAGTGAAAAACAGACAAGTGAGTTAAAAGAAGTGTAAGTAAACGAATTAAAATTCACTGCGCTCACGTTGAAGATAAAGTTTGCTTGTCTATAGGAATCGCGTGATTAATAACTAATAAGGTCACGCGAGGAGTGAAACTTGTCACGATTGTGCCAACGCACGCCAAACGACGACCAAGCCTAGTGTAGATTATTACAGTGTATTCCTGCCCTTGTGTTGTGAAATTATGCAAGGTAAATCGCAATAACTGCATTAATAGAAGAATATTACTGAAGTTAAATGTAATATGACGATATGAGTTATGCTTTTTTATTAATTATTGTTTGAATAACTGTGGCGAAAAATAGATCTATGTTTCCAGTCGACGACCTAATACTCTCATCCTCTCTATTCTTCGGCTTTCTCGAGATTTCTCGTTATTTCCTTTTTCCATTTACTAATGTCGATCAATGCAGGTTAAGGAATTTTTCGGATTACGACCAAATTATTATTATATTTTTTATCCGTAATCCTTTCAGTAGCCAACTAAATACATACAATAAACCTTGATGGTTCTCTATTCATCATCCCGCATTTTTCAATAAGTTTCCTGCTACTTTTTGAGAATTTTGTTCAACGTTATTATCGACACGAATGTGCATACTCTTTCAAGTGAGTACCACGATCTTTATGAAGACCGACATGAAGTTGAAGAATTATACTTGCGTTTAGTTTGGCGAGAGAGATATTCTTAAATGATTAAACCTCTACAAGCATTCTTACTAATCTGTAATGACTGTAATCATTTATTAATATTAGAAATACGAAGAACCACGTGCTCTTTTTCCATCTTCACACATAATTCTCAATTTTTGTGAGAACTTTAGAGTATAGTGGTGTAAAAACTATTATATCAAGTATAGGATTTTCCCACTAGGAGTTATTAAGCTAATAATAATCACGTAGGATGCTGGATCCAATACACCGTGTTTTTCTTCTATAAGTTATCTAATATATAATTGATTTAACACCCGTATCGAAAGGCATGTGTCGATCTGCCGTCTTATTATTTACAAACTTCTCATGTACCAAAAATTCAACATGTATCATGTAACCGACATCTTGCTATCAGTTATGGCTTCAGACGTTTCCGATAAAGTCAACCCGATACTTTCAACGTACAACTGACGCAGGACGCTTGATACTCCGTCCGCGCAGGTGTCGTCTATATTAAGCTAACCAATAGGAGATCAGGAGCGCTAGTACTTAAAAAGCGCAGTCTTTACAGGTGAGTTTTAGATGCCACGATTATTTCACGGATACTGTTTTTATTACGCTAATATTTTAAACACTCATGATTATTTAATCTTTACGATATACAATCTGAAGCAGTTTGGTTCAAATTTTTTTATTGAAGATAGCCTGTATACCATATTTGTAATAGTTTTTGCAGCAGTGAAAAGTTGGTTGATATTTCCTCAGTTCTGGTAACCCGCGGTTTAATTGTTTCTTGATGCCCAATTCAAAGTATGTTATTATTGTTACTAATATTGCGTTATAAAATATATTGCTATGTAGGTAACGAACGCCACTTTAATATAGTTTATACAAGGAGTATCTGCATAGCTCTTTATGGATAGGTACAAAATATGTTATCTAAATCCTTTCGACACTCTCCAAGTTGACCAAAAAAAACCACGTAGTGAACATCATGAAAGCGCTCCGTTAATTATAATGGGAAAACAAACCCCGAACGACTTGGCCGCCTTGGCGCAGCCTTGGAAAGGTTGAGTAGGGGCAAAAAAAAAAACAAAACCTGGGTCCGGTTTTTACGACGCATTGTGCGCGGGGCGGCCGCCTCGTTGGCATTGCAAGGCGAACAGGTCTGTTCCCGAAGGCGCTAACACCCGACCGTTGAGACCGTTGTCCCGACAACGCTATCGCAGTGTGCGTATAGTCGTATAGCACGCTACCGCTGTGTGCGTATAGTCGTATAGCACGCTACCGCTGTGTGCGTATAGTCGTATAGCACGCTACCGCTGTGTGCGTATAGTCGTATAGGACGCTACCGCTGTGTGCGTATAGTCGTATAGGACGCTACCGCTGTGTGCGTGTGTAGTCTGTTCCTCAACGCTGATCGGGCTCACGGGACCGCTGGATTATATTTTGCGATTTTCAAACAATACCTACGGAACGTATTATGTTTGAAAGTCGAAAGCCGCTTTCTCGCTGGAATGAATACTTGTTTGGTTCACGAAGGGTAAACGAAATAAAGAATTGAACAGCTGACTCGGTTTGAGTATGGCATTTGTAAGTCGAATATCTCAGACTCTCCCGTTACCTTTGACTTTGTATTGTACCCGAATGGTTGAGAATTTAAACTTAAATTGACTAAAAAATAAATGATATGTGCATTGTATGAAAGTGAGCATTGCGACTAACTATTAGGAACTCGTTACTTTGGTAGAGTCACGTATGAACGAGAGTTCGTTCGGGTTTAGTTCGGTCTCGCAGTATAGCGGTGTGATGAAGTTTTCTTACTTTGCCTTTCTTCTGATAAATCGAAACCACCTTCACTCTATTAAATGTTGGCAAGGCCGCTGAAACCATTTGGGAAGTAGTCCATGAGCGGCACCAATTAATTGAAAACACGTAACAACTGCTAGATTGCCTCGTTCTCATAAAAGTGAGAGTGCCTAACCACTTATGTTAAATGTGCCTGTATACTTGTAAGTATAATGTAATTTGGAGAACATCAGAGTTTTTTTTTTTAATTTGTAATAAATAATCTCTTAACGTCAAAAACCTGTTTATTTTGAAACGGTCCATTAGGTACCTACGCGGAATTCTCAGGTGCCTAAACGTATAATTAGGATTGAGACAAAATTATCCTGGCTTGCTTCATTCGAAAAACGACTGGCTAAGGCTTCATTTAACTTCAAAGTTTTTTCATACTTTTGTGCAAAAATAATAGATTACACTTACCCTTAAACCAGTTTTACCTTGATACCAGTAGCGAGTTAAATAAAATTTAATGTGCACCTTTTTTTATGTGACAAAGTGGCAAACGAGCTGGCGGTTCACCTGATGTTAAGTGATAACCGCCGCCCATGGACATTTGAAACACTCATAGGGTTGCAAATGCGTTGCCACCTTTAAATAAAGTGGGCCCCGGCTACCTCACTCACCAGACGAAAGTGTAACACTTCTACTTTACGCCGGTCTTCTGTGACGTCGTGGTACTTACCCGGACGGACCTGCCCATTCGTGCAAGTGTTGCGAGGCCCTACTACCGTAGTCACCGTAGGCACCTGACATTTTAGTGCAAAGGCGAGTAAAATAGATTTATTTCAATTTGTAAGATAAGTATCATGAATGTTGCATGATCTCTCAATAGTAAAAATACTGTTAACGTGACTAAACTGTTTCATGTTATATACATATTCAGAGCTTCCGTACAAAAGATATCAACGGGTGTTAGAAATTAATCAGTTGGATTTTTACGAATTTCTAACAATACGTAAATTAATAATTAGGATTATCTGATTAGGATTTGCATACTGAAATAAATTCGATGCAGCAGATCATTGTATTCTCAAGTTGTTACACTCTGGTGTTGCCGTTTTCGTTCTATCATATGCACAGTTATACAAATCGTAACT